TGAATGCAATCAAGGTCTGTCTAACAGAACCGTAAAACTGTGATGATGGAAGAGTTTGTTTGTTAATTTGAAACAATCAGACGGGTGCAAGCAGGAACTAGTCGGTACATTATCTACCATGATCAAATAAATAAAATAAAACTTGTATATGGAGTAAGTAACAAGATCAATAGATTACACCACACCTGCTACTGTCCACACCACACCTGCTACTGTCCACACCACACCTGCCGCCGTCCACACCACACTTGCTGCCGTCCACACCACACCTGCTACTGTCCACGCCACACCTGCTACTGTCCACACCATACACACCACACCTGCCGCCGTCCACACCACACCACACACCTGCTGCCGTCCACACCACACCTGCTACTGTCCACACCACACCTGCTGTCCACACCAAAGTCCACACCCACCTGCTGCTGTCCACACCACACCTGCTACTGTCCACACCACACCTGCTACTGTCCACACCAAACCTGCTGCTGTCCACACACCACACCTGCCGTCCACACCACACCTGCTACTGTCCACACCACACCTGCCACTGTCCACACCACACCTGCCACTGTCCATACCACACCTGCTACTGTCCACACCACACCTGCCACTGTCCATACCACACCTGCTGCTGTCCACACACCTGATGCTGTCCACACCACACCTGCTGCTGTTCACACCTTACCTACTGCCGTTCACACCACACCTGCTACTGTCCACACCACACCTGCTGCCGTCCACATCACACCTAGTGCCGTTCATCCTACACCCGTGACCGTCTACACTACACCTGCTACCGTCCACGCTGTACACGTACACACACACACACACACACACGGGTACAGAGTATCCAATATTTGATCGCTGTGGAATGTTGATTCCTTGGGTGGCACATAATAATAGTCAAGAAAGTTTCCTCCTGTACTCCTCATTATTCCCATAGACTAGAGGATGCCGTAGATCTGGTAACGGGAAGTAAAGTTAAGTTTTTCTCCAACAAATTCTTCAAAAAATACATAGGATTAATACGAACATTCTACAGTGTCATGTTCTGGTCCTTAAAAATGATTAATTAAAATGTGTAAATTGTGATTGGTGGAAGAACTTGTTTCGTGACACAACCGCTGGTGATGCTGTCCTGGCGCATGTGGTCATGATCGCTCCTGCACACTCATGACTATAAAAGTTGTTTTATACGTGAGAACTGGAATGATTTGGGTCTTAATGATCAGTGCTGGCCATCTTGGACCCACATGGCTGCCTAACACCCCTAGTAACCGTATTGGTCCTTCCCAACAGTGTGTGTGTGTGTGTGTGTGTATTCCTTCACCTATACATACTGTACGTACGAGTATATATCCCTCCCTGTTTACGTATATGTTGTCCCTCCCCATCTGTGTATGTATTATTTTGTGTGTATGCGTGTCCCATACTTGTGTGTGTACGTACTGTATATAGGGTGTCCCAGAGAAATGTCCCTGTCTCCCTCCCTGCCTGCTCCCTGAGACACTGAGTTGGAGAGAGGGAGGGAGGGACGTTTTTCTGGAACACCCTATATGTGTGTGTATGTGTGTTCCTTACCAATTGTGGATATATAAATGTGTGTCCCTCCCCATTTGCGTACATAAGAGTATCTTTATATGATATTATTGTTGTATGCAACGAATATCTAATATTCTTTGATTGTATAGTTGTCCAGGTAAAACTTACGTAGCCACAACCTACCTTTTGAGTACAGTATATTCTCTCAAACAGGGACCATTACCTAAGGGACTTCATCTAAGTCGTAGTGCAAAGAAACACCATGATCTCTTAAACGACAACAGTATAATTCATGACTTGGCATGAGTGAACGTGCGCCTGCAGCAGCCTGTCCTTCCCAGCTGAGCGGGTCATTTTAAGTTGTGTCTGGCGCTTCGCTGATGCAGTTGTCGCTTGTCTTCAGCCTTGCCTGCGTTGACATGAGTCGCCCTATTTGTCAACACCAGCCTCATCTTGTTGTACAGTATACCGAATTTTCTTGCCGTAACTCGTGTCCTGTATTAGAAAGTTTACTTCTAAAATTAATCGTATATACTTTTACTTTTATCCTCTTCGCCACTGATCGGCTCGCTAGACGCCCGGGCGATCGGTCACGTCTCTGTCACGTACTGTTGGCAAATACTGGGGATCTCACTGTAGTGATGACATGTATCTTGCAGTTTCTATATATTTTTATTAGGTTGTCTATTTTTCCTCCAGGTTTGAAATTTCTTCCCTGTAAACGAATTATTTTAAGTTCAAAAAATTAATGATAGGGAAGTTATACAGATTTTTTTCGTGAATCGTAAGAAGCATTGAGAATTAATATCATTCGTAAGCTAAACCAAGTGAACATATAATAACTTAGCCAGACTTCCAGAAACTTTACTGTACCTACTGGGGATTTAAAAGCTGGAATATTTTATTTTGGTGATTTTTTGTAAATATCTGGTCGAATATGTTCTGGTGCGATTTTGTTTATAAAATTTAAGGGTTATGGCATAAAATCCCACGCAGGTAAATAAGTTCACATAAGTAGGCTAGGTTATGTACAGTATAAAGCTATTAATTTATAGTATAGGTAACATGATTATCTACATGATGGTCTGTAGCCAGTCAGAAGTTCCGAAAAAGATAAATACAGTATATGGAAGTTATAGCAATTTCGCAATTATCCCTATTTAGCGTTGGTCTTATTAAATAAGTCCAGCGCTTACAATTTCAGGAGTTGTGAAAGTTATGTGCGGTGTTGTGAGGTAAGCGGCTTCGTGGACCAACTAGATATAGTAACAGGAAATTATGATTGATATGTTATCTGAGGCTGAATAACTCCGGTGACCGAGGTCATAGGTCAGGGTGGTGACCTCTTACTCTACAACTGGTAATGCTGATAGAATCATACTCTCAACACTCCCTGACGTAGCCTCATCCACACACCACCGGTACTTACACTCTCACTATACCTTCCTTCCTTCCACATATTACCGGTACTTTAGTGTCGCTACTCCCATCCACACACTGCTGTCACAAGGAGCCACACTACCTCCTTGTGTACCCCCCCCCCCCAATCACCATGTCACAAGAGTCATCCGCGCAGTTTCTCCCGGATATCTGGCTAACCTATGAGAGGAAGCTCCAGGTTGTTATTATTTGGTTCACAAAATGGGTGTGTGATCCTACGGTAGTGTTTGGTAATGCACAACGTCACAAGCTGGGTTTTATTTTTATTCATTGATGATAACTTTATGTACGAGGATCACACTAACAAGTCTTATTTTTGTTCAGGTCAAGCTTTGTTGTCATTAGCTCGGCCGATCTCGGTAGAATAACTCTGCCCAAAATCTACGTCGCGAAAAGAAATCCTCGATGATCTGTCTGCTCTGAGTCACTTTATTTACACCGCACTTCTGTGATGCTTTTTTCCCACAAGATGAGTTAGGTAACCAAAGTTGATCGATGGTATCATAATCTGAACTGCACTGAATATTCTGATGAATTCGTGGGCATTTGTTCAGCTCACCAATAAGTATCGGTGGAGGATACAACAGGGCCAAGTGTCCTAGAGTAACGTAACATACACACTACAGGTGTATAGCTGCAAGCCCAGCTAGTGATTAATATTTCGCATTTTCAGAATGTAACGTTTTCACAGCGGAGAGGGGCCTGTTTATTGACTATAGGCAGGAAATCTCAAGAGCTGAGGTTGTTTACTTCGTCGTCAGCTGTGTCCTTCCTGGTGAGGTCGTCAGTCTCGTCACCCGGAAGAAGACGAGACGCTGTGTGGTGTTGTCTTCACGTCCTCTTTAGCCCTTGGCAGATTTCTCGGGATTCCTTGTAAACGTGTGGTTGCAAGTTAATACATACAATTTTACAATAATTTCTAATGATAATTTTTTGCGTAGATAGGAATAAGACAAGATAAATTCAGTGTTTATATGTGAATCTGAGATTAACAATATATTCAGAAATAAACGAAGTAACTAGTTAAGAAGCCTAGAAAACTGTTTTCATATCTGGCGTCTCTTCAAAGCATTCCGCCTTACCCTCCCCACATCTTTGATTCTGTGGACCTGTGGCCGTGGACTGAGTCCAGGACACAGTGAATACATGCGTTACCGCTGTATCATCCACGCTATACATTTTATATAACAAGGCTTATATATACCTCACAATACAAGTTTCTTTTTATCTGATATTTTATTGGCTGCCTTGTATACAGTGACAATAGGCAAATCTTGAACAGATCTCTGAACATTGTTTACTAGAAGGCTTTACTGCATGATGCAGTAAAGCCTTGATTAAATTATAATTTTATCATATAACTACTCAGTTTCCTTTGGGTAACATAGAAGAGGAAAACTATTAGCTACTCATGTACACACAGTTAATCCTGTACACATAGATACTAGTATTAATAGCTGTACACACACACGTTTACACTATTAACTTCTACATTACACACATGTTGAGACAGCATCTCATGTAAACACGTTTAGAAAATATTAACATGTATACACACATGTTTAGACACCATTAACATCTCCAGTACACACATTTAGACTTTATTAACATTTGCACAATACAGTACACACAAATCTGACATTAAACAGTACAGTACTGTATTGCCGTCTCTTATACACATTTAGACATTATTAACGTCTCCTGTACAGGGACATCTTGGAGGGATATTGCCTCAGTTCAATAAGGTTTCCTCATCACTTGTTGACCGTAGATTAGTGTAGATTTATTAGACTTATATTATATAATGTGACCATATATTACGCGAACATGTGAAGGGAGAGACGCCTGGTGGCCCTCACTCGTCTGGGCGGTGTATTGTGGGAGTATCGACGTCTTGCTTCTGCTATCAGCTGATTTGAGTGAAGCTTGTTTATCACTCCCTTTACGTGGAAAGTTAACTTATATTTCTGCATGTTTGCGAGGTATGCGAGGTGTCTTGTGTATTACATGAAAATCACGTAAATAAACATGAGTACTGAGTTAGTGCACAAGTGTGTCAACCTCAAGCTGCTACCTAGAGTGGAAGAACTTATTCATGAAGTGTTTGTGAAATTGTTTGTCTACAATCTTGTAGTGACGTGTTGACCGGCACAACCGTGACATTGTACAGTATGATTTTATGTATATCCTTTAATTCAATGATAGCAAGACACAAGATGATGTGTTCTTTGGACCTCTGGTGCACTACTGTTAATACTGCCTGCATGTCAAAACTATTACTTGGGCAACACTTAAACACCCACTCCAGCTTGTGTTTTGTTTTGTTCCATAACCTAACAGTGTTTCTGTATAGCACTGCATAAAATGTTTTGAAATAGTCTAGGTTTAGTACCACTAACAAAATACAGGGATATAGATACTGTACTGTTAATAGTTTACAACAGTGCATGGTATTATAAGCCACTTTATTAATACATAAGAAAATTTGTTACAGTATTTACTTTTCGAGTATCAATAAGAATTTAGAGGATATTCAACTTTCCTAATTTTGTTTTTCCAATTTTTATTAAGAAACAACTAATATAGATTTCCCCCCAAAAGTTACTGATAATAACATGCTATTGTAAACTATTTCCAGGATATACTGAAGGTGTCATGCAAGAAATGAATGTCCGACAAACTGCTGTTTTTTTTTCATACCGTATAGATTAATAAAAGTTATATATGATAGTAATACTGTAGGGCACTAACAATGATTATTACCTACATTCAAGTCCTGTACTTTTCTATGAAGACAACTTCTTTTTTATCTCAGGAGAATCACAAAAATTTATGAGAAATTGCAATTTTCATATGCTTAATTTTTTTGTATTTTTAGCACTAACATACCTTTGATTGTTTACCTAACATCTGTTTCACACATGAATACTTACCAGCAACCATACCGCATACATGAAGATTTCCAGCTACTGCTATATATATCAGAATGTTTGAAGAACGGGAATATTCGATGAGAGTGGTCCGGCCTTAACAGCAACCTGATGAAATTTTATGATTGAAGATAAAAGCTTTCTTACCTTGAGAAACACACAAAAAAGAAAAGGAACATTTTGTGAAACACTGGTTTTGACATGCAAAATGGGTGAAGGAAGATGGCCAAACACAACCTTGCCACCAGTGCCATGTTTAGACTGTAGGAACGGTTCTTTTCAAAAAAAGAATTCTATTCTATTTTGGAAGAATGAAATAGGAAATGGCTGTAGTATTTTAGGTTAGGTCTGGTGGGTTAGTTTTATTCATTTTATGAATGAAAATTTTCAGAGTAAGGATATTTAAGGTACTTACTAGCTATAGAATGTTATTTACATTTTGGGTGCCAGTGGTGCCATATTTGAAATCTCTTAATTATTTGTTGCCACAATAATTTCAGGAAAGATGTTGTGTTCTGGTTCACTTAATCTGTTCACAATGTTTGAGAGATTGTATTGGTCCCCCCAAAAACATGTAAGATTGCTATTTCACACATCTTTTGTAAAAAAAAAAAAAAACATCTGACAGAAAGGAACCATCAGCCTGTCCAAAAAAGGTATTTAAACATGATGGACAGATGGAGGGTTGGGGGCTCCTCGGCACATGGATTTTTTTTTTTTTTTAGAGTGTAGCAACGCGAAACATATTCCTTGTAAATTGAGGAAAGAAAGCTTTTATTGTCTATAGAGAAATTTTATCAGGTAGCTGCTAAGGCTGGAGCATTGTTGTTGAGTACTACCAATGAACCAAGCTAAACTACCTAACCTGCTTATCCTGTGATGGAAGTTGTATTGTACCAATTATGTTATTGTAGGTTAGGTTTGGTTACATAGGTTGCCAGAAAAGGCATTCACTGGACATGATGGATGGAGGTCCATTATTTTTAACAAGCATTCATGAAAAAATTATACAGTTCAATGTCATTATTTAAAATGTTCATGAAGTAAGAAAGGAGTTGTGTTCAGTAGAAAACTACAGTGTATGAAAGTAGGGTTTTATTTGCGCATGTGTCCTAAAGTGTTAAACAAAATAAGAAAATTGTATTCATTGGAACATAAATAAACAAAGGAGAATAACTATACATTTAACATGAATTGTAAGGCCAAGACAGATTATTCTTCACCAGCAAATCAAGCTAATTTTATCTAACCTAATCCAGCTAACCCAACCCAGCCTATCCTTTCTTTTGTCTATTCAAGTTTTTCATCTGCTTCCAACCTGCTTGAACAAGGGTGAAACACTGTACTGTCTTGAATAAGTGTGACATCTTACAGTTTGTGAGGGAGCTCAGCACTTGGTGAATTAAAAAAAGTAAGACAATATATTCTGCAGAGCTTTTGTTTTACAGTACTGGTAATATGGCTTTTATTTTTTCAGGCAGAATGGGTGGGAGTCACAGACGCGGTGTACGAATCCTCTTGATAGGGGATGCAGGAGTTGGCAAAACATCTCTCATTCTCTCCTTAGTCTCTGAAGAATTTCCTGAGCAGGTTCCACCACGTGCTGAGGAAATAACAATCCCCCCAGATGTGACCCCAGAGAAGGTCCCCACTCACATTGTGGACTATTCTGGTAAGTTTCCTTTCTGAAATAAATTAATAAAGGATTAACTCAGGGGTAGCACCCTGAGAGGCTACTAAATTTTCAAGTGCATAATATTACTTTCAGCATGGAAGGGTGCTCCTGAAGCTGGTTGTGGTGGGTTACCCTGAGGCCATTGGGCTACTTTTGTTACTGCATCAGGTTCACTAGCATGCTACTACCTGGGTTTGCAGTGGTGAGTAGAGGGGGGAGTGAACATTTTGCTCTGGCCGATACCCAGCTCCTGTTACCTAACTACAGTACGTAAGTCATTACAACCAAAGATCCTTAGTAAACCTGTTACACATAAATTGCCTACAGTATACAGTACTGTACATTGTATGATTGCTTGTCAAAGGAAGTTAAGGGAGATCAAAATGGTGCAACCTGACATAGTTGGGTTCAGAGATGGGAGTCTAAATTTTGGTACTATGCAAGGAAGATTGGGTGAGGTTAAGGAGATATTGAGCTGTAGAAAGGTGGATACCTATTGTGTACAAAAAATTTAATGGAAAGGAGGATCAACAATGTTGATTACTGGTAATAAGTATTTCTATTTCTAACCTTGTAATATATTTAGATTTGATTTAGTATCTTTGGGTCACTGATACCTTTTATGGATGTAATAATTTATGCTTATGGTCTTTGGGTCCAAACATAACTAAATTTAGTACTGTACTGTACAGTATATGATATTGTGTGGTCATGGTCCCATGGTCCATTACACTTATGTTATAACTCATTCATTAAGTTCATGAAATTCACATGTTTGAAAATAGTTGGTCCCAAAGGTGTGTGAACCAGAGAAGTTATTTTGTCATACCAATTACTTTTGCAAGTTAACAGATTTGCCATACATGTCACTCCTTTGTATTACAGAACGTGAACAAAGTGTTGATCAGCTGCGCACTGAGATCAACCGATCTGATGTAATATGTGTGGTGTACAGTGTTGAGGATGAGGACACATTAGACAGAGTGACAGGTCACTGGCTTCCCCTCATCAGATCAACTTTAGGGCAGCAGCACCATACACCAGTCATCTTAGTTGGCAATAAAGTTGATCTTGTAGATTATTCAACTATGGAAGTAAGTAATTTTTGTAGTGGGTAATGAAGGAATATTGAATGATGTGGTCAACTTGTGACTGACTATCAGTTTTATGGGATCTGTTAATTTGTCAGTAGACTCGCATTATAATACAACTTTATAAGATATAATTTGAATTGCTTTTGTAAAGATATTATAAAAATCAAATGTAGTAATGGTGAAAACATAGTGAAGCACCTAAAAATGATTAAAAAGCCATGTAGTATAATTATATATTGTTACTGTGACTGAAAAGTATTTTTAATTCTCCTTCAGATTGTGTTGCAGACTATGATGGAATATCCAGAAATTGAGACATGTGTTGAAGTAAGTTCTCATGTAATGTTCTTTCAGATTAGTGTGACTTTCATTTACCTGTGGCTGTGTAGCTTCCATGACCCATTGACATGGATTTCTGAAATCATGAATACTAAGGTTAATTTTTGTTTACTTTAATGACACATTACCACAGTATTGTATATGTTTGTTAAAACTTATATCTATGGCAGTTAGGTGAACGTAGATCCATTTTGTGTGATAGACTGGTTTGAGTGACATGCTCTGAGAAGAACAAGACTGTTTTGAAACTGTCTACTTCAACAAGTCTTTTGTTCTTTAGTGATAAAAGAAAGTAAGGGATTGGGTATTTAGATTAGCTGTTAACCAGTTTTTATTGAATTACAGTACTATTTTGTTGGCTTGATGCCATACATTTAGAACTTTCAAAGGGAATATTAGGCCAATTTCATTGTACTGTGCATGGACAACTTCACCACATGGAAATTCTTTTGTGCTTAGTTAATGTGATTACTGTTGTATTTTCCAGTGCTCAGCAAGAACCCTCAAGAACATTTCAGAGATGTTTTATTATGCTCAGAAAGCAGTACTTCATCCTACAGCACCTCTATATATACTCGAGGAAAGAGATGTGAGCATTTCAAATTTATTTTGATTCATAAGTATCTTTATGCTTTAAGAAGACATTTTGAGGAATGGTACATTTTTCATAGATATATTACCGGTAGTTATAATATAACTAATATATATTATGTGTACAATATATAGATTGAGAATAAGGGATTGATACTGAAATTAATGTGTGGAAACTATGGTTGATGAGTTCAAAAAGTTAATGAAGTAGAATATTGCCTGTCATTTGAGTCAACTAGACAAAGGGTTGTGGAAGTATTTCCCTGATCTCGAGCAACAAAACAATGATTAAAAGTTGGATCAGAACCCCATTTTAGGTCCCGTATGATGCTGTGCCAGAAAACTAATCCTAAGAAAGAAGAATTTATCTCTGAGTGCAGATATGAAGTTCAAATATGAGGTTAATAATGGGAAGGACCTAACACAATTCAGAGGCAAAATCCTTCCAGAGTACTTAACTAGGGCACAATGGGTGCTGGGACATACTGTACTTTTGTTTAGAACAGTAAAGTCCATCTGTAAGGTGGAAAGGTAACTAACATTCTGATAGTCTAGATACTGTACTTATGCAGTATGCCATGCCATTCATGTTATTGGCTAGCCATTGATGTTGCTGTATTAGTTATTTAAATAAGTTTTTCTTGTATTATTAACTGATATTTAATAGACTGTTAATCTTTTTGGTATGTGCTCAAATATAAATTTTTTGTTTCAGCTGACAGAAAAGTGCAAGAAAGCATTAATAAGAATTTTTAAGGTAAGTTTCATCTGTTTTCTGTGATGGTTTTCCTTATTTAGTCTTTTCTCCATATGTATTTCATTCTTTGTATTCTCACACTAGAGGCAGAGGGATACTGCATATGCTTGTTCATATTTCTGGTGCCTTTTGTTGTAAAGTTTGAAGTAACTTTTGGTTCTTTTCCTCTGTTGCCTCGCAGAGTAGGCTTGTCAATGAAGGATTATTTTGTTTTGTATTGACAACACATCTGAGTTTGCCTTAATTAAAACAGTTGGTCCAGTAGGTTTTTTTCCTTATGGGAAATTTTCATAAACATGATGTGTTTTTTGTTGCATAATAGCTTTTCTGAGTTCAGTAGAGTGGTGCAGTCCAAATTAGCTTAGGTACGACTTATGAAATTTGCATATGAGCCAAAATACATTGCTCATCGGGAAAACCGTTCACTAATTTATAAATTTTATTGACTGTTTGTGAAAATATTTATAGCAGGAGTGTATATAGTGAGGGCTGCCTGTAAATGACATTTCATATTAGTGAGGGGGATTTGAGTCAGATTGAAGGGATTCTGAAGGTCAAATGTAAGCACAGGGCAAGTGAGGGGGGCAATATGGTTGTAAAAGATACAAAAATGTAGACGGATTTACTTTATATAAACTTTAGAGAATAGGTCATTTGTAATTGCTAATCTATTCTGCACAGATTTGTGACACTGACAATGATGGCCTCCTTAATGATCAGGAACTCAACACCTTTCAGCGGCGATGTTTTAATGCTCCTCTTAATCCTCAGGTGAGGACTTCATATTTCATTTCATACCTATGTTATGTAATAAAGAATGTTTCTAGCGAGATTACAGTAACAGTCATGAATTTTAATTAATTAGTATTTTGTTTTCCTAAGAAGTACACTGCAGAATATTCTTTTAGTTGAGAAAGAGTCTGAGAAGTTGGGTCTACCAGGTAATACAAAAGGGAAGTTTAATAGTGTAATATTTTATTAATTCTGGATCTAACCTCAAAAGATGTATTTAAAATACTTTTTTCTGGCCACATACCAGATTCAAGCTTCTTAACCCCTTGTGTTGTGGGATCTCTGTTCTGAATAAAATTATTTGGCATTAGCCCTATAAAAAGTCGAATGTGGCATCCCTGTAGTGAAGGGTTAAATACTGAAGTTTACTCCACCATCAAAACTTTTTTTGTTTAAGGATTTTAGTTATTATATGAAACTAGATAATGTATATACTCTTACAGGCCCTAGAAGAGCTCAAAACAGTTGTACAGCGAAATGTATCAGATGGTGTTCATGCTGATTCTCTTACCTTACGAGGCTTCCTCTTTCTCCATCGCTTATTTATTCAACGTGGTCGCCATGAGACAACATGGACTGTTTTACGAAAATTTGGCTATAATGATAACCTTCAGCTCTCAAAGGACTATTTATTTCCTCCGTAAGTTCACTGATTTGTTCCAGCTTTTGTGGTTTCCATAAATTGCATTAGATTAGCTAAACCAAATGTTCTTCCTTAAGACCTGGACAGTATGTAAAGGTGAAAATATATGAGGATTTGTTCTCATCTCTTTTCAAAGACTTTTCTTACTGTAATGCACTGTTGCCACAATCAAGAGCATACTGTCTTTATTTACTCCTCTATAGCATAAGTTGTACATTAAAACACTAAATGAAATATAGAATGCTTAACCAGTCAATAGACTCAGGATTTATTAATATCTTTCCACGATGAGGCGTGGTATGTATGTATAATGTGGTGCCCTACAACCACAGTCTCCTCACACTTTTCCTGTTTCACTGTTCTGTATATTAATGTGTAAATATGCATTTAACAGAGTAAGAAAAATAAGGTATTAATGCCTATATACAAAATAAAAATTGCTTACCTTAGCACCCCCCTCCAAGCCCAGGGTGTACTGTAAATTCCAATCCCAGTAGGCCTATATTCTCTAAAAGGAAAATGGTGGAGTGTTGCTTTCTCTACTCAGAACCCTCAAAGTCAGCAGGCTTCTCAACTTCTCCCACCTCAGATGAACAAGATAAATGTTAGAGGAAGTGGGAGTGAAGTCTGATAGGTCAGATATGGTAAGAGGGAAGTGAAGGACAGCTCAGGCAGTGAAGTAGTAACTAGTAAGGTTATGGTAGTGACATAAAATCAGATGGGCTGACATCGAGTACAGTATAACATGATCAAGTTAGAGTGGTTGTGGCTAGTGTTGGGTGGGGATTGAAATAATAGAGGTCACTTGTAACTTCCTTTGTGATGTGATGGCAATTCTCGATACAATTTGTCAGAGTGGATTGTTGCAGTAAAGTGGTTATGAATTTTCAATCTCATGTTTAACTTAGTGAAGATGTTGCTTGTAGCAAAAAGCACTGTCCACTGTCTTAAACATGTCGAGGCCCAATAGCAAAAGCTGGTTCTGTCAGGGTATGTTTCAGTTTTATGAATCTTGCAGATTGTCCACTGGTTATTCTTTGGTCATAAATACTTTATCATAGTACTTTCAGTTATACAGAAGTGTTGTGACAAAGGGGATCATAAAGATTTAATTTTTCCACTTCAGAATTTGACAAATTTCAGTAAAGACTGTCAAATGCTATGGTTTATTCGCCAAAGTAAATACAAGTTATACAAGAATGTTTTGTCCATCAATGTTAACTTGCCTTGCACAGAATAATGGAAGAATTTTCACTACATAATCATTTACCTTGAAACCTTCCAGATGCATTGGTTTGTTATTGTGACTTAACATATTACAGTACTGTTATTTGTCATCACATTTTTGTATTTTAGTGGTGTTTCTTACTTTTCCTTTCAGATTACGAATACCACCTGGCTGCAGCACTGAGCTTAACCATGCAGGCTATTCCTTCCTCACAAGTCTTTTTGAAAAATATGACCGTGACATGGACAATGCATTAAGCCCTCAGGAGCTCATTGATCTCTTCTCCACTTGTCCTGTCATGCCTTGGGGTCCAGATGTCCTCAATTCAGTTCATACAAATGAAAAAGTAAGCTTCAATAATCATACAATGGAATTAAAGCATAACATTGCAAACATACTGAACATTTCTTCGTATTGCCTTCAGCCATATTTAGAATTTTTTTCACACGTTTTTTTGTGGACAGTAGCAATGATGTTATTTTCTTCTTTTTTTAGGTACCAGATGTATTGTTTCCTAAATAACTCAACAGAAATAATAATAATATTAATAATAATAATGATCATTGTTGTAATTATAAATCTGTTTCTTCAGGGTTGGATTACATTACAAGGTTTTTTAGCCCAGTGGACGTTATGGACTTTACTAGATATTCAGAGAACTTTAGAATACTTTGCATATCTTGGGTATTGTGGATCTGGTGATGACAATCAGCTATCTGCCATCACAGGTACTGTTTTGCTCTTGTTTTTAATGCAAAATATTTAATATTGAGCTGTACTGTGAAAATTTTTCCACATAAGATATTTTCATGGCTTATAGGTTATTTAACAAGTAACCTGCAAGATCACCCCACCAGAACATCCCTGGGCAGAGCCTGTCTTTTCCAGGGGCTAACACTGTTCTGAGGCAGGACACAGTCCTGTCAAATCATTGTTAAATGCTACATATACAGCTACAGTTATTTGCCAGTTGAACTAATGTTTGTGAAACAAGTTCCATCCCTGACCCAACTGCTTAAAAGAGACAGAAAATCAAGGTACACCAGAACAAATTAGTAGAACTAGTTTGCTTGACTAAAACCCCCCAACCATAAACTTGGGATCCAAATATCATCTTCAAGTTTTTCCCAGATGGGCTACTGTCACCATGTGCTTTTATGGTTTATAAATGTGTGACATACCCTGAAAACAACACTTCTATTTTCTCTCTCTCTCTCTCCCTGCACCACCACCATCATGAAGCCATGAAGAATTTCTATGGAATTTCTGAGGCAAAATAAAATCAGTATAGTAATGCACAGCAATGAAGCAGTTCTCTACAAAAAGTCAGAAAAGACGATTCAACTTGGCAGGACATTATAGGTGTAAAAATCAAGTGAAAAGGTGATAACTATAGTCTTGTTAGGTTAATGGATGTTTATGTAGTAATAAACATCAATTTGAAAAGATTTGTCCAAACCTTAGAATGCAGATTGTTACATGGACAAGGCAAGTTCTGTCAGGGAGTGATCTTGTTGGTGATGTCACAAGTCACTTGTCTCTTCTCTTCTGTCTTAAAATGAGAGTTTATACTGTACTTCAATTATTAATTTTTTCATTTGTATACAGTAGACTAAAAAAATAATCTTGGTTAATTAAATATCATTCTTTAATCTTGAATTTAACAGTAACGCGGGAGAAAAGAATTGACCTGCAAAAGAAACAGACAATGCGGAATGTGTATCAGTGCCACGTTATTGGGCCCCGTGATGCTGGCAAGACAACCTTCTGTCAGGGACTTCTAAGCAGATCCTTAGAGGTATAGTATCTTATAAATGATTAGTTTTTTTTATCTCATAGGACAGGAAAGGTAAACAAAACAAAGTGGCTGGTATGAAGCACTTTCAGATTTTGTACTTACGGATGTAATGCGAGTTTCTGACAGATTCTGAGATTTTTCTTTTTAAAGTATAAACAGTAAGCTTGTTCATAACAAAGTACCATTTCTTATGCCCCAGAGATGTTCTTGTTAAGACCATGGTGCTTAAAAATAACTACAGGTCTTACAATAATAACTTTAGTTGTTAATCACAGAATGAGGTGCCATTTTCCAAAGGGGTATCTCACATGATAATGATTCTTATGAAATTAATCCAGCCTCAAACATATTTTCATTCATATGTCTTTAGAGGAAGTACGTCTTCATGTGTCTTTATTATATACTGTATATATTGTAATATTTTTTAAATCCTTGGGGCTCACTGCTTCTTCATCAGTCATTCAGGAAATTACCCTTGAGTTGATAAGTATCCCTGAGTAGTTTATAGGGCGAGTCTCTTGTACAGAATCTCTCATGCTAGTAACAATTTCAGCTGGGTGTGGTCCTGTGGGTCATTTATAAAACCCCCTTTCAGTCATAAAGAATGAACTGGTACTTGTGAAATCCTATTTTCTACAGGAGGGATGAAGACCTGACCAAGACCCTCTAACCTTCCCCATCTCCTCCATTCATTGTGTTAATGTGCTTGTCTTAGTGAGCTTGTTTCTTTTTAATTACACTGTACAGCTTTTGGGTTAAAGCATGTGACAGAATTCAAAAAAATTTTCCCTCAGTGATCAGATTAGAACCTAAGCATATCATGTGATGCAGCTGGTGTGAACCAGTAATTTGGCACTGTAGGTCATTGCAGATGACTCAGAGGAAGAACATTGGCACCATCTCTGGCATCATTTATGGAATGATGTCTCATACGTCACATCATCATCCCTCCCCAGCCAAAGAATAGGATTCCCTTGTTTACCTATGTAATGTACCTAACTTGCTTACCATGCAGCTTGCTTAAGCCCCCCCCCCCTATTATTCCAAAGAATTTTGTGAAGGGGTATATTAAAGGTTAACACTGTTCTTGCTTCCATCACAATGTTAGGTTGTTTATTCACATGTCTTTCACTCTCTTGGTGAAGAAGTACCTATACAGGGTTTCTGTATTTCCTCAATTCTGTTTGATAATGAGAACTCAGCTTGCTTAAGTGTATAACATCTTGTACACGTACCGGTAACATTTTTCATTTTTATGGTTTTCAACATATCTGTGAGGTTTTCCCTGTTGTGTCTTATTTGAAGTACAGGGTATATCAGTCTCAAACATTATATACAGTAATTGGAGGACTGCATTAATATTATTTATTTATGGTGAGAATGTATATTAGGACTTTAATAATAATGTCTGGAACTTGAGCTGTTTTTCAATTATCAACAGGTCATCCAAGAATATGATGTACCAAATATATAAGAATTTACTCTGTTTTTATTTTGAAACAGATCTCAGCTCACTGATAATATAAAAGGAATTGCATATACATGATTTGGTTTTGTAGTCACCATAATATTGCAAAGTACAGAACAGTACATATGTTCAAATATGGCAACAGTGTTGTATGGACTCATAATAGTTGAATCCTCTAATGAATTTGGTCCTTTACAGGAAGTTCAAGAAATTGCTCCAGATAGATTGTCACGGCACACCATCAGTACATTACAAGTTTATGGCCAAGAAAAATATTTAGTTCTTCACGATATAGATGTTCACAACATAACTGATGCCCTCATGCCTAATGAAGTCCAGTGTGATGTAGCCTGCTTAGTATACGATGTTTCAAATCCTAAGTCATTTGAATATGTTGCTAGAATATATTTGGTGAGTTAAAAAGTGAAGATGTGTGAGTTATATTTTAAGATAACTAGTTATACATTTATTGAAACATCTTGGATACAACATTTATTTTGTACAGGTGTATAAGAGAAAGGTATTGAACATATCCATTTGTTTAACATGAAATAAAAATGTGTGCTGTATATTCTAATATAATGGGACCTTTAATTCAGTGAACAGCTTTACCTTATAACGTAGCCAGTGTGTAGGATCTTCCCTTGATATTTAATGTATTATTGAAACTTAAGACACATGAAGGGTAAAAATGTTTGGGTATAATAAGATTTTTTCAATGCATCAGATGAGAGAAAGAACTAAGATAGTAATATATTTAAAAGGATAAATGATGAAAGCTTAATACAGGTATTCCATTTTTCAGAAATATTTTAGTGAAACCTCCATCCCAGTATTGTTTGTTGCCAATAAGAGTGACATGTCTGCTGCGCGTCAAGACTACATTCACCAACCAATATCCTTTTGTCATAAACACAAGATCCCTCCACCACACACATTCTCCTCAGCTGTCCAGCCAAAGAAAGACATCTTCACCAAGCTGGCAACAATGGCTGCATACCCGTAAGTTTATTGTTTTCTTCTTGTTGTTTACTTGTTTTCTTGATTTTTTATAGCCATGGATTTATATAACATTGTCCTTCTTTCTCTATCTCTCTTGTCAGTGTCTTGTTGATTTAGTTGTTTCCTGACAGTGTTTTATCTCATGGGTATTTATGAACCTCAGGTGTGCAGGGCACAGCACAGTACTCATTTCATGGATATAAGTTATAGAACTGCATATACTGATGAGCATAAATCACACTACTGTTTGAGGATCAGTAGAACTTTAGATTGAAGGAGACCATACTATCAGTACTGCAGTATAAAAGAGTAGATAAGTAAGAAGAAAGCTTTTCAACTTGTTGCTCAAGGACTCCTGTGTACTACCTCATTCTCTTCCTTGTTGCTTGATCTGCTCTGGGTTCCTTTGTGTAAATTTCACTCTGTTGTGGTCTTCCTTGTACATTCTTTATCACTGATCTCTTCACATCAAGTATGTAATTGTTGTACAAGATGTGTCCAAGACACATCCTGAACAAAATTTCTTCACATTCCTACTACAGTGCAGTACTCTCTTCTCCCCTGACCCTCATTCACTTAACATATATGTAATATTGATCACTAAACTTGGCTGATTTCATGATTTACCAGTGGTGCCCCTTACATTCATTAGTGTAGAGAGAACAGTAAGTGACAAGAATGCTTTTAAATGGTATTTGAATGTAATAAACAAATAAAAAAAATGCAATGCTACATTAATAAGATATTAAAAATAGTGATAGTAAGTGATTTATTATGATGTATGCATCATTTCATGGTGAACTAGACTCAACACATATGTTGGACTAATATATAAATATAATTTTGTATACATTATATATATAAAAACAAATGCCACTATACCACTCACAAATGCACACTCAAATCTTGGCGCACACTTTAAATCTGAAACCGTACAGATTCTTAAGCATTACAGACTTAAGTTTAAGTTTTGACAATACAATATTACTGTCACGTTACATGCTTTCACTTACCATGATACTTTTTAGGAACACATCTGTCACATGAACTGAGGAATTCCTGTATGAGATGAAATCTTGGTAATAGCCTGGTTGATCTTGGTTACCGGTACCTATGGAAAAGTGTCCAACTGTGCTGGAAAAAGTAAAAGGATCTCCCTCCTGCATTTGATAATTGTCTTCTTTTGCCATATTTACAGACCAGCTTCTTTGAGGGCTTGTCACATTTTCTCACATACAGTATTAACTTGTTCTTCAGATGTTGTTTCCCCTCTTTCTCACTTTGTATTTTACTTCTAACTCTGTTTACTCTATCACTTCATGCTTATCTTCTTTCTGAGGTAGTGCAAATTCTTTTGAATTTCATTTTCTAATTAAAGTGATTTAGCACCAAGATCATTTGTGTTGAAACCAGATATTTGAGAGGTGCTTGATGAAGGTGATTCCAGATCCACAGCACAAAATGGGTTAGAAGGCATGGATAATAGTTATAGAGGTATACCCAGTAATAAATACCCTGCATTTACAGGTAGATTCATAGAGATTGTTGAAATACTCTTGCTGTGATAATGCAACTTCCAAGTCAGGGCCAGGCTCATTTCACCACTTAACAGCTTAGTAGTCATTCTGATGTTTGGTCTGTTCTTTGTTTGGACCTTCATTCCCCAGTGTTAGTACAGGACGAAACCAGAATACATGGAGAAAATGTGTAATGTTTGGTAGAGTCACACTGTATAACAACCTTCTCATCTCTGACTAACTCCCTTTTAATATATTTTTATGCATATTTCCATTATTTTTGCTGTAATGGAGAGGAATTTATTGACTCAGATTCAAGTCACTGAAGTACCACTATTTTTCATACTGTAAAAGGCTTTTGGAATAATAATTCCATATTTTATTATGCATGAAAATCATCAACACTAGATGAGTGAAGTTAACTTTTAAATAGATTTCAGGGATTCTAAAGATTAGACTATATTGATAAGTTAGTAAGATGCTTTTATATTACAGTATTCAACATACTAACCATCATTCTTTTCTTAGTCGATTTCAAGCTGCTTGGATGCTCTTTTATCGAAGCAGGTGTGTAAGAGTCATCATCTGTGGTAAATGTTCTTATGCCTTGCTTAATTCAAGTTTAGCTTAGTTCTCTCACTATTGCACTTGTGTAATATTTTCTACAATGTGAGATGGAATGCTTTTCCTCACTGTTGTTCTTTATGCTGTTTATGATGTTGAGTCTTGAGGCTACATCTCATTATTCATATTTCTTTAAGATGTATAACAAGAAGAATGTTGATGTTCACTTTTTCTTGAACTTTAATTTCATCTTGAGACTTAATGTCATGAACAGTAATGTTTCTCTTCTCATGTTAAAGAGTACATTTCTTATTTCATATATTAAATCCTTGCAGTAGAAAAAAATTTGTTGCATTTTGGTATGTTGTCACTGGAGCCTGGTTGTTCAGGTAAAATGCCATAAATGCCTAACTTTGCTTATTTTTGTGGTTTCACCCAAAAAAATACTTATTTCCTCTTCATGCACTTGTATTGGCTATTATTAATACTTTCAATTATAATTGTGCTTTAAACGGAGCACCAAAGGTGTTTGAGAAGAACACTCTTTGATAAATTTCTCTGCTAGAGACAAAGTTTCAGTTTTGAGAATTAAAAAATATATACGTATACAGTACAGTATGAAGTTTCAACTAATAAAATTACCTCGTGTTTTGCTCACGTTTTCATTCTGACGGAAAGTTTCAGTTTTGAGAATTTGTAAAAGAAAAGAAGTCACATGCCACCAATGCATACATTACAGTACCTCTGAGGACACAAAGTCTGTTGAGAAAATGAAGAAAAATTTACAATTTGTACATCAGTCACAAAATTATTTACTTTTTCATCAATAGCTATGTAATAGGCATTATGTGTATATGATAGTGCGTTTATTGGTTATATGATCCCTATTATGGAAGTTTCTCTTGCCTATTTTATTTTTTTAAGGATTTAAGTTCATAAACACCCAGGCTCTAGTTATCATAGTCTAGTACAGTAGTTCCATTTATCTTAATATTACCCTTTTCCCTTTTCAGTGAAGTAGTTTTTAATAGAAGTTAATATTATATTATTACTGATCAGCTGTCCAGGATGTATGTATAAATGCTGTACAGTACCTTCATATTAGAAAGAAATTGCACGTACAGTAATTAATTAATACTTATTCAAACTTATTTAAAAAATAAATCTGATTCTTGATTTTGAAGTTTAATCACCAGTGTTCTTTACTTTTCAACATAACAGAGACTGGTTACATAGCTAATTATTTTTGTTTCCTGTTCTCTCGGTGTCTCCTCATAATAATATAAGGGTTAAAATTTTATACAGTACATAAAGAATGTTAGAAAGTGACAAAAGACCCTGTAGGATTCCTTTAGTAAATTATGTATTCAGTTGTTGAAAGTTTTTAATGTCGGTGGTCGCTGTGAATGCATTTGCAGTACTCTCCGCCGTTTAGTGCACATGCTTCTGTTGCGGCCAGACACGTCTTATATGACAAGGTGGGAAGAAAACAGTGAGACTTTGTGATAACTAATTTTGGATTTTGCATTTTATAGCTTTCTTATATAACTTTAGTTTTGTTGTGTTCATTGGTAGCGATTTTCCTTCTTTTCTTTAATTTATCTTATGCTTTCTTTTACTAAAAAAGTTTTTGCAGTTTGTTCCATGCAAATTTCTTCCTCCTCATAGGTTTGTAAATCGGTCTTGAGGCTGTAAACAACATAAATGCATTTCAAGGGATCATGTAACTATAGTTATTGAAGACAAACTAAACTAGTTTTATTTATTTTAATGATTAAATTTTAATTTTAATGGGAATGGTTTTAATGATGAAATTATAAATTGGTTCGTTTGTTTTGATAGGAAGTGAATATTATCAAGAACTAATTTAATTATGAAGTACTGTATACACAGTCAGCGATAAAAAGACACAAATTTTATGTTGGCTTCTGTAAATAAAGAAATACAGTAGTACTGTTGATTACATGATGCCATAAATTATTTATCTGGTTTGAAAATTAAATAGTTTTGAAAGGCAAAGAATTAAAAGCATTACTTGCTTTTGGCTCTAGATCAAATTAGATGAGCTGGAATACATTTTATTGGGAGGGAAACATTTAAAAATTATTTTTGTAGTTAGTAGAACATTAGAAATGTGGAAAGTGTGATGAATTTGAAGTTAAGGTCCTCTTACTGTTTTGTGATAAAGGAAAGGTGATTGGTCAGATTAGAATTAATGGAAGCCATATATGTTGCTGTGTGGTGTAGAGGGGTCTTGAACACAATACCAGGTGTATTAATGCTACAACTCCTTGACTTATATGATTTACAAAAGAAAACAGATTTATGGAAAACCTCTCATGGTATAATTTAAATAGGACTGTGGCATAGTACATCTTCAGTATGGAAAAAATAGATGTAAGAGCAAAATTTTTGTTTGTTGGATATGGTGAATCACAGCATAATAGTTTTGTTTGAGTATAGCTTGGATGTATTGAAGTAGATGAATTAAAATACATAGGGATAGTATTGATTGTGCAGAAGCTGTTGCAGGTTAGAAGAGTTGAAGGTACACTTTGGCTATAGTAAATGGGAAACAGTTGTGTGTGTGTGCGTGCTTGTTCAAACCCTGCCGTATGAATGTAAATATCGGAACCAGGTACAGTAGCGGAAATGTGTTCCTACGCCCTCTGTGGTAACCCGTGTCTCCAAACAGCAACCAGGGTTGGAGCAATAACACCTTTTTTAAATCAATCACAAATACAATTACTAGTCTGAATCTTTAATTACAATTTGAAAATCAAAAGTTCAATTATAATTTAAATTTTCTACATGCTACCTCACCCTTTGAAAGGAAAACCATCATGCTGTCCAGTTATAAGAGCTAAATCTGTATTGATGAATATTTTTCACTTAAAACTATTGTGAAAAAAAGCAGTCAGTTTGAATCTAGGATCCAGAAAAGCTGCTGCTCGAACATCCCTCATTTCTCTGTATGGGTCCAACCTTTTATTCACAGAGTCCAGCAGGACTCTAGCCAAAGGTTCACAGTACTGCAATTGGCTGTTGTTGGAAGACCCAGATCTAAGTAGATGCTCCAGTGAATATTTAAGTCCCTGAATCTCTAGTCCAGTGGCAGATATGGTTACCTTCTTCTGCCCCTCCACAATTTTCATCTCTCTCTGGGACAGAAGATCAACTGCAATATTTACCTCTTCAGGATTCTTGAGTAAAGATTTCACCATTTTCAATTGTGAATTCCATCGCATCACATTTTGTGTCTGGAGAACAATCCCTTTAGATCGAAGGTGTGGAGCAGCTACTGTTGACTTTCGAATTGAGTTGACCAAGGATGTAACTTGCTGAAGTGTTGATGAAAGAAGTGAAGTTTTAACATCTGGTTGAATAAACCCATCCTTCACACACAGTTGCTGAGTGTGTGCAAAGCAACCCATTCTTTGAGGGAGGAATGACAGAACATCTTCCAAGCTAATATCTTTAAGGATGTTGGTGTCACCTCCTGAATCTTCATCTTCTGTTTGTTCCTGATTCATGTAGAAACCTGGCAGGGGCACATCAAAAGCTTTCACCATGGGAGATGCATTATCTGCAACCACTTTCTTGACTTTTCCTTGAATGCTGAACAGATTAACAATTGCCTCATAGGCAGACGCAATGTTTAAAATTTAATCGGGAGGCTGAGTTCACAATTACAATTAAATTACAATTACCGGTACATGATAATCATTTAAATTACAATTACAATTAACTTAAAAATTTTCCAATTACAATTCCTGTTTTCTTGTAATTAATTACATTTCAATTAAATAACAAATACAATTATTCCAACCCTGATGGCAATGCCGCAGATGTAGTATATCACTATAAATGAATGGGTGTTGGTCAATTAACAACGGACATGATTGGTGGATAGGTTTGCTATAGGTCATATAGGTCGGCCGTTTAAAGACACGGGTTACCACAGAGGGTGGAGGAACACATTTCCACGACTGTACATAAGCTTCCAGACTGCTGATATGTCATCTTTAAAAAAAATAGAAGATTAATAACCAATTTCTTGTAAATGAACCTAGTGCTTAATTAAGGTCAGTTTTGTGATTTCATATGACTTTTTGTCTTTGGGCAGTTGTAAGTGACATGTTTTGTTGGAAGGATCTGCAATACAGTACCTACAGTACTACCAAATCTCTTTGGAAAGAGAGTTGTTCTGACTTGGAAGGAAATAGAATCAACTGCTCCCTCTTGTTCTTAACTGGCTTTAGATTACAGGAGCTGCCTTACAATGGGTGTTGTGCCAGAAAGGAGGGTTTCAATTCTAAAATCCCTTTTCCTTGGGGTTTACATGTACCGTAGTCAGCTGAAACTTTGTGTTTTTATGTGCAAAAACCCATTTTGGTGCATATTCTTAGAGGGTGGGGCCAGTGCTATGGCATGATGGTTGTCGAGTGGTCAGATGTTAGCGCAGATTGAATGCACAGTAACCCCCCACCCCTCCATCAGTTTCGGGGGGAGGGGGGGGACAACCAGCTAATGCTGGCTGCTGTGCAGGGGTTAATAGCTTTGATAACATTTAGCAGATCAACTGTGTCAGACACTAGGAGCTCCATCATAGAGCTCAAGTACCCTCTATAGAGTAAGTCAGTCCAGATTACAAGATCCACTTAGCTGTGGGCTCTGCTAGAAAATTTTTATATCAGCCCTCCTTCTTTGGGGGACTTTTATGAAAAACTAATTTAATTTAATATTACATGTAAGTTTGGGAAACGATTGTCATAAGTTTTAGAATTGAATAAGACCAGATACTTTATTATTACTATTGGATCAACAATAGTCCCAAAAAATTTTAATTTACTATTGTACTTAGTACAGTACACAAAACAAAAGCTGATTGGTGGAATTTTTCTCTCGTAAGTGCACCAGTAGAATGTTGTGAGAAAATAGATCAGGATTCTGTATCCAACTTTTAATCATATTGTTTGCTTAAACTCACGAGTTTTTTGTAGATTGCATGAGAGCATGAAGTTTAGCAATATTATTTTTAATTGATTTAGTAGTTATGAAAATAGTAAAAGTTATTAAATGAATCCAATATTGGTGTTTTATTTTTTCTTGATGTTTGTTCATGACAAATGATTTCCCATGCTTAATGAAGTGATGATACAAAAAGTAAAAGAATGACAAGTTCAAAGTTTTGTGTGCATGAGTTTGATTATCATTTGCATGTAGCTACATAATTTTGTTTGATAATGCATGAATTTTGGTATTGATCTGAATTTTATTAAATGGTTTGTTAAGTATTAGAAGAAGGTTACTATGGAAGGAAGATGTTCAGTGTTAGAAATTTGAAATTGGTGTGAAATTGTGTAAATATATGTCGTATTTATCTCTTGATGGCACAGAAAACATAAAATATGGATAAACACATAGAGTAACAAGATAAATGTAGTATTTAATACATCTTCATTGTATCTTAATATGTATTCCATATTTGATTTGAAAGGTCCCAGTAAGCTCACACAGGTCTAGGAGTAGAACAGTAGTAATCCAACAGGAAAATAAAAACATAAGTGGCTATACAGTAATCAGTAACATTTCCGTTAGCCGGAATTTAAATTTGCTTGGAATTTTTCCAGAAAATTATGGGTTTGGGAACGATTTTCCGAGGTTGAAAATCGGGTGCATTTTCTGGAAAATTCCAAGAAAACTTCAAGAAACTCTCTTCAAATTTTTTTCCCCTGGTCTGGGAATTAATTCTGAGGATGAAAATCAAGTGCATTTTATATAAATTTTGGAACCCTCCCCAAAAAAAATACGGGCCTGGGAACAAATTCCGAGGGTGAAATAATGCGTCATTTTGGAAAATTCTGAGAAAATTCCAGAAACTCCAAAACAAAACAAAATTCTGGGTCTGGGAGCAAATTCCAAGGATGAATTAATGCACAGTTTCTGAAAATTTCTGAGAAACTTTTCCCAGTACAGTACCCAGAAATATTCTGAGGATGGGGGCTTTTTTTCTGGGTTTGAGAGAGTTGTCTCGTTTCCCGAAAATCTCTCATTCCCAGAAGTGCTCTGCACCAATTGTTCCGGCTAACAGAGATATCACTACTAGCTCATGCCTATACTGTACTGTATAGCAAGCCAACTTGATACTGTATTAAGACAACTCAAGTCAGTTCCAAGATTTTTATAATAGGGTTCTTCTGGTTTTTGTGTCAATAATAGCTTGGAGGTACTTGTAGTACTGTTTTTGTGTAGTTCAGAGATCATCTATAGAGGCTGTGTTGACTGCATCTCATCTCTGGATGGCTCTGTTAGGGGTTTCAAAGCCTTCACCTTCAAATCCAGCACCAAATACAGTATCCAGGTTAGTTTCTTGTGGACATAATAATTCTTAGTTGGATCTAAATTAAGCTTCAGTTAAGGGACTATTTTCACTGGGTCACCTATGCTGCCTTAAAATTTACTAGGAAGAAGTTTAAATATTGAATCATTTATTTATTTTTTTTCTATTAATGTCTTCATTACTGTCTTCTCCCATGTTGTGTAGGTTCCATTAACTTATCTATTAATAATTTTTATAAAGGAACCAACAAATTTGATCATTCGTGTAATGCCTGACAAGTCAATGGTTTGAAAACTTGGGATTCACCTAGAGACTGGCAGCTGGTATTGGTCCAGTAAGCCCTGTTGCAGCTGTACCCCTTAAATAATGGACGTTTGGAAGCAAAGGTTACCATATAAAGCAGGAGGTTAATAAGTTGTAGCTTCACACTGACCATGTACAATCTGTTTGCCAATTGAAAGCTCAACCATATTGATCAGGAATATACCGAATCTTACTTTCAGCTGGCTCTTCAATGTGAAGATGTATCGCTGATTCTTCTCTCTACAGCCAAGAGCAAAGTGCTGTATTTATGAATTTTTTGCGGTTGTGGAGTTATTAGGCTGGTCTACGAAGTTTCTTTGCATTAGTACTTTGTTAAGGTGATTTTGTTCCCTTTGTTTTTATCATCTTGTAAATGTTAATGTTGCTTTGCTAGCATCTTATTCTGAATTTGACTAGATGGTTCAGAGTGTGAGGCTGACATGCTATCTTTTGACAGTTTTTTATTCCAAGCTTTGGTTACCTGCCCTCAGTTAGGGATAAACAGTTGAGTTGCAAAAGTTAGATCTCTTAGATACTGGCTTGGGGGTAGACAACAGTTTCACTAAGAATTAATAGATCTGTACCAATGTGTCCATTGGGGATTTTGTTTTAGGTTAGGATGGTAACCATAAGTTATTTGATTCATGGATGGTTGGAAAATGGGATTTTGTAATGAATAACTCATTTATATTAAGTTTTTGCATTAAACTTTTATTTACAAATTTGTGGTCAGATGTTCCTGAATAGTTTCATGACATCTGTAAGATAACTTTGAATCAGAACATAGCATTGCAATTATGATGCAAGTTTGAAAGAACTTTTCATATGATAAACAACCAAATTTTATGCACAAGGGCCGAAAGCTGTAAGATCAGGTAATAAAAGTTGTGGAAGGAGTGATCAAAAATTGATGAGGAAGAGAGTTGACATTTATGAAGTGCAGTTTGTGTTCATGACTGAAAGAGGGACTACAGAGGCAATATACATAGCCATGCAATAATAAGAAAAATGTCCAGAAAATTAGAGATATTTTGCACTTTGTAATTGTAGACTTAGAGAAGATATTTGACAGGCTACCTTGTGAAGTACTGTAGTGTGCAGTGGGCACCAAGACAGTAAGGGTTGAGAAGTGTTTTGTTCAATTGGTTATGCCATTGTATGAGGGCCTGAGAACTTTTATCAGAGTAAATAGCAAGGAAAGTAAGGAATTTGAGGTGAAATTGGGGAGTCCATTGAGGGTCTGTCTTGAGTCCCCTTCTGTTTATCATGGTTGTGGAGAGTATTGCAAGATTTTAGGACTGGTCAGCCCAAGGAGTTGTTGTATGCTGATGACCTAATGTTGATAGCAAAAAATAGAAGAGGTAGTGGAAAATTTTAAGAAAAAATTATGGATTATAGTCAAAGGGAATGTGACAAAAACGAAAGTAATGATTAGTGGCATGGCGGGTTGGTTCTGTGGTGGAAGATGGTCATGTTCTGTCCATAAGAAGGGTATCAATAATGTGTAGTGAGTGTGGAAAGTGGGCACACAAGAGGTGCAGTAGTGTAAATGTCAGACTGCTGCTGAATTTAAGTGTATTATACTGTACTGTATGTGCAGGTAATCCTGTGGCCTTAGCAAGGCTGGAAAACTTGATGTTGGGGACCATTTTCTCTCTTGAAAGGAAAGTTGTATGTAACTGGCTTGATAAGTGTGATGTATGGCAAAGTTAGGGGTGACTGAGCTGAAATGACAATGTCAAGGTGGATGTATAATGTGACATTAAGAAATGGGAAACTTTGTTCAGAGCTAAGAGGGTACTTGTATATTAGGAGAATTGGTGAGAGGTTGGCTTAGATGGTTTGGGCATGTAGAGAGAATGGAGGAGACAAATTAGGTCAAGAGATAGATGCCTAAATTTAATTTGGAGGGGAGGGGAGAGCCTGTTCAGGATCATAAGCTTTAAAAAAAAAAAAAAAAAAGCCTCCAACAAAAGTCACCTGCTTCATGAATGCAGGCAACTGATTGTACAATCTGGGTGCTGTATAGGAAAAGGATTGGGCAGCAAAAGAATATTTCCCATACTGCTCTTGGCTCCTCATGGCATGAAGGATCATCACTACTATGCTAACCCATGCAAGCATGGAAAATAGAAGTTTATGATGAACTCAGTGATTTTCACACTTTTACAGTGATTGCAGTGTGAACCAAATAAATCCTTTATAACAATAATTTTATCTTCTGCTGTCTCTTCTATTTTCCAGAATTCTTTGTCAGGTGTACTTCTAGGCTCTATTTCCTCAGTAGTGTTCTACATATCAATTGTGAAAGTATCTTCTTGGGACCTCGGGAAGTTCTAGTGGTTTGGTACATGTGTGAAGTCAACTTCTTCCTATTTGTGTTTCTCAATGGGATTTGTAACCTTTTTTGGCATCTCGGGTAGTTATTTTGGTAGATCAGTTGATAGTAATTAATAAGGAATTTGATGCATAGTTTATAATTAGCTATAAGTATATAGATGCTGTCCATAAATTGCAATCATCTACATCCATTTATTTGCAATTAATAAGATTTTTGTTGTGTTGCAGGCACCTGAAGCAGCTAGGTGTGGTTGTTGGTGAACATAGTACCTGGCTGAAGGTTGGTTTAGGAGTGGCTGCCATTGCTGCCTTTGCTCTCCTCCTGGCTAGAGCATTGCGCTCATCTGATAGATAGTATATTCGTTGCACTTACTATACTTAAATTCTTCAGAATTTGTTGCCTGGTCTAGAAAGTGGCCATTTGGAGTGGACATAGGCACATAATTTATTATTGTGCAGCTGTGCCATCTGGCATATAGAATATGCTGTTTACAAATATGGAATATCATTGTGTTGGGTGAAAGAAGTGATTTCAATTTATATGCTAATATAGAATAAGGAGTATTTTTTTAGAATTTTTTTATTTAAACAAAGATGTACAAGTCTTGCTCATTAATCAATTTTGTGAATTGCATTCAATGTGGAATTTTAATCATTATTGTAATATGCTGGATATTTTACTATTACAACAGGTAAAATATGGTACCCTTGGACTAAATCATCCATCACGGAGAATGCCTCTTATGGTTACATTTATGGGTGTTTTATTAGTAAATATGACTATGTTTCTTATGACAGTGGAAGACATTGTTTGAAAAGAGCTAGGTGCTGAAGTCATTTTCTTATTTTTCTAATTAACACTTTCCTGATCCCAGTGGCAGGACCCCCCCGGTAAACCAAACGTGAGCTGCTCACTCCCGCCCACACACAGTGCAGAAAAGTTCATGGACATTTAAGTTTGTGACACTATTTTCACTCGTACAGTTAGTTATTTACCTTGTAGTGATATCCCCGTTAGCCGGAATAATTGGTGCAGAGTTCTTCCTGGAATAAGAGATTTCCGGGTATTGAGACAAATTTCTCATTCCCAGAAAAAATCCTACATCCCAGGAATTTTTCCGGGAACTGGGTTAAGATTTCCAAGAGAGTAAACTACGCCTCTCGCATGGACAGACACAGAGCTGTATTTATTTATGCAAATGCCACTGTACATGTATAATATATTGTAAAGAAACAAAATATACTGTACTGAACTCTCCAGCAGATGCTGTTGTTCTGAGCTTATGATATGATTCAGGCCGGCCAAATAGTGATATGATGATACAGAATGGCCTGCCTTTGTCCTGTACCATCAACTGGAGCAGGTGTTACTCTCACGCTCTTCTCCCTCCATGAAGGGGGGATTGTACATGCGCTATATACTACACATACACCTCTACACACTGGCCTGCAGTAGGTATACACTGTCCACCCTGCTGAATGTACAGTACAGTATACATAACTGTAACCACTTTTTACATCTGAACACTGTATTCTTGGCTGATTGCATCCTGGTACAGTAATGTACAGACTGCATAACACAAATTGTATGCAAAAACAGCAGCTAGTGAGGGAACAACCTTGCACAATGGCAGTGCAAGTTACCCAAGTAGCTTGCCCACCCACGTGCCTGGCAAGTGGGGCTGCATCGGAACATGATGCAGTCTCTGAACTCCTGGAAAAAAAATTTCCATGCCCATAACAAAGAAACTTTCTCAAAATTTTCCTGGAAAATGTGCATGATTTCAACCTCTGAAATCGTTCCCAGTAAGTAGAGGTTTGGAGAGATTTTCTTAGAATTTTAACGGAAAATGTACCTAATTTTCATCCTTGAAAACTCGTTCCCATGCCTAGAATGGAAAGTTTTCCCGGCTCAATTTTAATTCCAGCTATTGGAGAGTTCCAGAAACCTGGGATTTCAACTAACATGGAAATTACCGTATTAATTTTTAAACGAGTGTTCTATATTACTATATAAAAAATGAGAAAATCACCTGTCAGTGATATCAGCTGCAAGCTTGCAACATCATAAAAATCCTCATCAGATGTCCCCATTTAAAGAATGAATTTTATGGTAGATGGTGTAAGAAATACTCCTGCATACTTTTTCTTTACATTTTCAAGCTTCTGAATAACAGAAGTGTGTGTCACTGCTTTTCTTGTATGTTTCCCTTTCCTTTTAATTTTAATAAGGACAAAGAACACTAAACCTTTTGAACAAATTTGGCATCTCTCCCCCAACCTTGGATAGTGGATACTGAGTAGTTGGAGAGGCTACCTACCACTCACTAATGCACGTACTATATACTCACAAACAGTACCACAGAAAATGCATGCTGTGGCAAACTATTTAAGCCATAACCCAAGCAAATTGTTCTACTTTTTTATATATCTGTTGAACTTTTAAAGTGGATGCCGAAATACTCGGCGAAGGAACCTTCACGTAACCTTTTTGGATGCCAAACGTTTCAACAAGGGTCCTGGAAAGTGTTAATTTATTTCAATTCTTAAATAATTCCCTGTTTATTTATATGCTAAATATTCATGATTATATATAAAGAACTGGTAATTTGAAGTCGTACTGTATTTTCAAACTTAAAAACTCCCAGTATGATTTCCTTTTGTAGAGTTTGTCCAGTACTAAATTCATGTTATCATTTCAGTGTATCATGAGTAGTATGAATTGGAGTCCTTTGCCATTTGGCATGATAAGAAGTACCAGTATGAGATGATTTGAAATTGGCTTTAAACCCAGCCTAGTGTATTCAGGTACAACTTGTAGTTCATGTGAGATACATTTTATATTTATTTATTTTTTGTTAAGTTACCATTTCATTATAATGTATATAACGGTAGTTAAATGAAACTGATATTTTAATAACAGTATTATTTGTTAGCAAATCGGATATATTTACCATAGCTCAAGTCGAGGTATGAATTGTAAAACTTACACAACTTTTACTTTGTTAAAAATATTTATATATTAGATAATTTCACCCAAGAGTATCCAATAAGCATTAGAGTACAGTTATAATATAACTGTACTGTATTGAGGTCCCGTATGAAGTGAACTGTATGTTACTACTTACGTTGAAAAAAAAAGCTAATATTTCCTCCTGACTTTTCCCACCAATCTCTTCAGTACTATATTACAGTGGAACCTAGGAAATTCATAAATCAGTTAGCCAGAAGCCTCAGGAAACTGGCACATTTGAAAACTAAGAAAAAGAAAATGAAACAAAATTAACAAAGTTCTCAAAAAGAACAGACAAGACACTTTAATATAAACAATCATAAGTCAAATATGTATGTGGTAGTGATTGCTTCATGATTTTGTGGACTCAAATGACAAAAATATGTCAATCACCAAAAACCCTATGGCCATACCAACCATTTCTTGTTTATATAAATACTTTATGTGGCGAAGCAAACTGCTTTGGTTAGGGAGACATCAGTTTGGCAGTGCAAGTTGTATTATTCTTTCCAGTAGTATACACCTTTCCTTCCCACAACAATACACTAAGTGTGTAAATGTTAACAATCATTCTGCATCGTTCTGAAACGATACATCTTTAAAATAAACCTTAATTCACTTTAGGTTTAACAGAAATGCTTCATTGTTTTGTAGTTTTATTTTGGGAGTGCCAAAGTGGGAGTAACTTTGTTCAGAAAGTTTGCAAGCCTTATATGCTCTTGATTCAGCATTTCTGGATTTCCAAGGTTATACTGTACTATATTGAATTTGTATCGGGTGTATATTATAGATAATTTGCTCATCAGTATTCTACAACAGTAGGTAACAAGCTTATGTGCTAGACAAATGATAATTCATATGAAAATATCCATATATTTAAAGAGCCTGTTTCAAGTAGAATATTCCTGTAATACACATCATTATAGACTTGTGGTACTTGACTAACAAATGTGCAATATTATTTCCATTTTCAAAATCATTGGTATAATTTATATGTTCTTTAATTTGGAATAAACAACATGAAATAACAAATTTGACAGTGGAAATATATCCTGGTATATTTGGGCAAGACTAGAGGAAGTAGCAATGTGCATAGCATTACATGTACAGTTTCCAATGATACAGATATTACAAAGTCCAAAAAATATGCTCATAATTTGAAAAATTGTTTCAGTTTCCAATATTTTTATTTTATTTTTTAAACAGGTGATAGAATTTTGTGTCGACGAATGCTAATGATAGTAACTTTAAGAAGCACTCGCTTCAATTACTTTCATTTTTATAAGGATAGACTTTCATCTAGCTGACCTCTGAATAGGAAACCCTTATTAATAAACAATTTATTACGATGTACAGTAGTTCTCATAAAAATGACTAGGACTTTTTGTCACTTGTCTCTTTATAAATGCATTTCCATATTACAAGTTCATATTTCCACTCACAAGCCAAGTGTCCTATCATTAACTGAGTCAGTGGTCCTAGCAACTGCATCATACTGGACGGTATATGCTTCCCTCAATTTCCAAAGGGTTCTGTTTCTGAAAATCATTTATAAACTGACATTTTGTAAATACAATGCAGTTTTCCAAATGACTCCATTGCATAATTTGTTCCTATATAAAGAAGGAAATATCTAAACTTACTTATATTGACATCGAAGATATTATGTTAGCATGGTCTATAATATAAATAGTACAGTAGTTATTGAGATTGACACTGGTGCATAGTGATGCCTAATAAAAATTTAATTTTGCATTGATATACCAACTAATGCTAATGTACATTATATACATTGTTCCATACCTTTTGCTTGTACTTGATATTTTTTATGAGTAACTGGTTATTGAATGCTACAGTAAGGTACACATGTTTAATTAACTTTTTTATTGTACACATATAATTTATTGAGCATATTTTATCCTGTGTCAAATAAAACTGGGAGAATATGTTCACATCGATGCTTCCACAAGCAATGTTCTTGGGTCAGTGTCTCGTTACTGATTTCTGTACCAGGAGCCAAGATGACTACTGTACTATGTAACGCTCAATATATTAATTTTACCAAACAGATTATTTTTTTTATACTGTCTGTACAGTATAGTCTGGATTTACGTGGTTTTTGTTTACGCATTTGGTCATTTACGCGGTGCCTTGCCAGAATGAAATGTTTTAATTACCCGGTAAATTTCATAATTTACGCGGCGAGCGGCTGGAGAGGTCCAGACGCACCGTGCCATTTTTTACTCACACGGTCCATTTTTGACCCTACGCGGGAAGCGGCGCAGTGAGGGGTGCGCATTAGGTCGCTCTTACGTTATCGCTGACGTCATATGACGTATCGGACTGTGATTGGGCCACACATTCCCTCTGCCACTAGCTGTGATTGGTCTAATGTAACATGACGTGCCCTGCCACCAGAAGTCGCTGACCTAGCCAGGCCAGTCTCATTGTTCTCAGTCCGCATATACAGTTCTCTCTTGTGCCCGCTATTCCCCTCACAATGGCTTCCGCTGGACCCTCACCACCCGAGAAAAACCTTGAATTACCTGGACCAAGCCATGATTATGTAAAAGAAATCATCAAGTTGGGGGAGAAAATTAAGCTCATCCTTGACAATGACCCAGACAAGCATCGGTATGAAGTGTCTAATAACCATCTGACAAAAGTTATGGAGCCGTATATCCAGATCTATCTCAACATCGTCAATGCTAGTCGTCAACGTATTATTAAGGACTTCTTCGCCCGCAACCCACCACAACCACAGCCAGCCCAAGTTAGTGATTGTGACAGTGAGGATATGGACTTTGAGGGGTTTGTCTGGGAGGCCCTGCAAACCTCTGCGAGTAGTGAAAGTGATCATCGGAGGGCAACTAATCTGCCCTCTGCCTCGGAACCAGCCGCCATCCACGTGTGCCGACCCATCTTTTCTATTAACGTAAGTGTTAAAAAACGTATTATTATTGATATTTCTCATAAATATTAATTGTGTGCATACCATCATAAAATTAAGATGTTATTTTTACTACAAGGTACGTATTGTGTCGGAAAAAAGTGGAGTTTGAGGGTCAGCCCAGTCTCTATTTCAATTAATCCCATATGTTCTGTTACAGTTGTACCCCGCTTTACGCGGTCAATTGAACCCACAGGGTACCGCGTTAAGTGAACAACAGAACATATGGGATTAATTCCAATAGAGACTGGCCCAACCCCCAAACTCCACTTTTTGACAACACACAACTATGTTGTAGTAAAATTTTATCTTAACTTTATGATGGTATGAACAAACAAGTAATATAGAAGAGGTTAGGTTAGGAAAAATAAAGGTTAAGTTAGGAAAAATAAAGGTTAGGTTAGGAAAACTAAAAGTTAGGTGTAACACTTACGTTAGTAGAAGAGATGGGTCGGCATACAGGGAGAGGCGAGGCAGGCGGGAGCGGGTGGGGCGAATCTAAAAATAGCGTCTCGAGCCAGACACTGCGCGTATATGGGTAGATGAACCGCGTTAAGTGAAAGTTCAGTTCTGGCGAGGCACCGCGTATATGAGAAATCGCGTTAAGTGAAACCGCGTAAAGCGGGGTACAACTGTATTTCGTTTACGCGTTTCTCGTTTTACGTGGACCTCCACGGGTTCAATTGACCGCGTAAATGCAGACTATACTGTATATTATTATTATTATGAGTACGTTATTTTGTTTAGTGAAATACTGGAGGTTACCCATTAAGTTTTGTAACTACAAAATTTTACTTTGTTAATCCGAATTTATTAATGAATTTTCATAATTCATAACTGCAATTTTTGTAAATTGAGGGATGCCTGTGCTACAAATGGAATATTTGTCCTGTCTTACTGTGTCCCCCAAAACTAACTTGAAAAGGGGGTTTTGGATTAGCACCAAACTTGGTAGGTTAAATCAACATGTGACAAGGGGTCCACATGATAAACTTTTGGTGTAAATTGTGCTCAAATTAAACAAGTGTTGCCATGGTAATGATTCACACAATGATGATTACAGAAAAAAAACGAGTACAGGACCACCTTAGTAATGACATGAATCTTGGAAAAAATTATTTAAAATTTTGAAATATCTTGCATATCTTGTGGCTCATTGATATTGTTGTGGTCCCGCCAGCCTAGCCTGCATCAAAATAATACAGCTGCACTGTGTAGCTGTGCCCGTTCTCTCGTGACTTATAAATAAATAACACGGATTGTGAGAACAATGTCCAAGCTACTACAATAGTACAATAGTCTCACATTTATGGAATACAGGTAATGCGGGAAATGTGTTTTATTATTATTATTATGCAGTTTGGTGGCAATTTGTGCATCATGCCTGGCAGCATAGTCGATTCAACGTTGCTGGGCAAAGCACGACTCACCGTGGTGTGAGGCAAGGCAAGCAGGCAACAGCATCCATTTTTCTCCATGTGCGCGCAAGTATTGTCTGAGCGAGTGAAAAATTTTCTTGTTTAATTTTCATCAATCATTAGGTTCTTATTATGAATGGAAAGTGCCAATACAGTGGACCCTCCATTAACTTTGTTCTATTAACGAGTACAAACTCTATTAATGACAGCCTTATGAGAAAACATTTTGGTGTTCCCATCAGCTGATCGACTCATCCGCCAATAATCGACTCCGTTTAGCTTTGTTTCCAGTAGAGTAAATATCGAGAGTTAAAATATTGATAAATACAGTGCAGTGTTGGTTTAAACAAATAATCTGGAATTCGTTAAATAAATTGTTATGAACGTAAAATTTTTTGGCAAAATTATCAAGCATGAGTCCAAAGAAATCTCCGAAGGCGATTTCAATTCAAGTGAAACAATAAATTAAGAAATACAAAGAAGGCATTAGAACCAATGCACTCTGTAAAGAATAAGGCATGTCGTCATTGACGGTGTCTATAATTATTGCACAAAGACATTTAAATCGGTGAAAGTGAGAGATAAATCTACCAGTATTTAAAGGTAGATCGATGATTGCAGAAACGGAGAGGTTACTTCTTATTTGGGATAAAGAAAAACAAATGCAAGGCAATTCCATAGCTACTGAATTAATTTGTGAAAGCCAGGGAAATTTATGAACATTTTAAGGAAGACCAACCTAATTCTTCTGAAACCGAGTTGGAACCAATTACCCAATATCCCATTGAAATAGATTCAGTTAACGAGTGACTGTGGAACCAATTGTGCTCATTAATAGAGGGACCACAGGGTGCCACCCAGCCCAAGAAGCAGTGAAATGCAATCCTTATTTGTGTGAAATTGGACATAAAGCACTTGGAGAGGTGAATTCATTATTTATTTCGCTCGTGCACTTGGCCTTAGTGAGAGTAGTACTGTCCAAAATTAGGTTAGTGCCAAGTTTGAAACTTCAGTGATTCCTGGAAAGACATCATATGTAAGAAGTCAGTAGTGGAGAAGATGCCGAGTACATGGAACGAGAATCAGTCGAAGGAATGTGCATGTGAGAATGCTCTTGGCTCAAACTAAGGTTCGTTCATTTTATGAGGAACTGTTGAAGTACGCAAATATATTTATTGCAAGTTCCGGTTTGTTTGCCATCTTTAGAAGGTACAATTACCATATCAAAATGACTGGAGATGTTGCTTCTGCCGACATCAATGTGATTTAAGGCAGCATTTCCCCTAACCCTTACTGTTTCCTTTATTTCTTATGCGATAATTAAGTTTGATATACCGCTATATAAATCTAGAAATGGTTGTAAATTCGTGGAAGGCCCCAATGATCAGAAAGTACCTTACCATGAAGGATAAACTCGAAGTGCTAGCCATGGCCGACAATAAACACACTGTTCTGAAGATAATCCAGGAATTTTAAACTGATTTACTGAAAGCAAAAGTGGGTCCCATACACACCTACATAATCTTCACTCAGATAACAAACGTCGCCAACAATAGGTAACGGTAGCCTTGAGATGATTGTGCATGTTGTCACTGATTTATGTAATGAAACTAAATTTTATGGAAAAATCATTTCAGTACTCTAATGTGACTAATAAACAAAGGAAATATAATACAGAACTGTACAGTATAAAACTTAAAAACAGAAAAATGAAGAGCACAAGTGTGAACAGTACATACAGAATTGTGTGGAAGTTGGATCTATGTATGGATGCTTCTCGCTCTACCTAATGTTATGTCACGAAATACACAGCATAGCAGCCCAGCATTTCAAGTCGACTGACCGACTGAACTAGTCCACTCTCGGCATCACTCAGGAAGATTCAAGGATGGAAAGTTTTTTTTGTACCTCATGTTGGACTGTTATTTTTATTATTATATAAATTTTTGCTCATTTTTGACAAGTTATATACAGAAAACGAAGGATTGGAACCTATTCTCTTTTACTCAGTTAAATATACCTATGACAATGAAGTGGATTACATGAACATATCCCCTTCATTGCCAGAGGTATACTGTACATTCACATCATCCACTTTATCTCAAGGCCATCTATGCCTCGTATTTCAGGACTCAGCAACCTTCAAAAATCTTCTTTGCGGTTCTGAAACTTTCTAGAATCTAGAAACTTACCTTCATATATTAACATTAAACAAACAAACAAAAATTACTGAAAGTATGTGTGTTGTCTATGGTAGACCCTGTTGCCATATGGCATCACAGAAATTGTGCCCGAGTCCCAAGTTGCTGATATAACTCGACTTTCTGCCTCATTTACACACATTTGCAGGGATGGGCTAATCCCAGTAAAAAAAGTACAGTATGATTATTTTTCAGGGGGTTAAATGAAACTAAAGTCTCAAGTGGTGACTACATTAATTTGGTTACAGCATCACTAGTATAATATTTACCCTGCCATGGTAATGGTTCACAGGCAAGGTTTGCATCCATTTGTAGGTTTAATTCAAAGTAAAATCCTTGTAGTGTCAGTACACTTTCCTAAATGTGTTGCTATCTGAGAAACTGACACTAACCTTTATCTTATTACTATTTAACTTTACAAAAAAAAACCTGTGACCTATTCCATATGGTTCCTGTTGTAGTTTGGAAAACTAAAAATATTTGATGAATGCCATTTTACATTGTACAGAAGTGAAACAATACTATAACACCAAAATTATATGATGCAACATTAAAACCCCCCCCCCCTTTTCTTTTAATTGGGGGTGCATGTAGAGTGAGATAAATATCTTCCCAGCTTTGGCAGAAGTATAATGAAACTTGACTACCCAACACAGGCAACTGTTTATGGCTCAACTGTTCTGCAATGTATTCATCAAAACCCTGGAAGATACTTCATTCTCTCACTGTACAAGCACTCAAATTTTTTATTGTACTGGATAGCTCTATCAGTCTTGAGTCTCTGGTCTCCTTAAGGAGTTCCATTGATTGCTTTTCCTAATGGGTCTATTGTTGATACAGGAGGAAACTAGCTAATACAAAGTATCTTGGGTGAACCAGTGTTGACTTCCATGAGATTGTACTCTGGGTTCTCTAAGAAAATTCTTTACACAAAAGGACAAGAATACAGCTCATGTTGGGCCTAGTCCAGGTAAGCTAAAAATACTAAATTCTATTAATTTGGAAAAGAGTCCAGCTAAGATTCCATTCATGCAGTAGCGGTAGCAGTATCGTTAGCAGCAAAAATAGATCATATTGAAATGCACTTGGTTGTTTCCATTCACACGGTTGCATTAGCGTTATGCGTTACATGTCCATCGCGACAGGGAGTGATTGAAAACACAACTGCAAGGAAACGGACGAGGGACTCCCACACTGTGATGTCACTATCCCTCTGTTTGCTCTCCTCGCCCAGCAAAATGCCTTGAGGAAAAAAGTTCCCTGTCAAGGAGACTGAGAAGTTGATTTCACTCGGAATACAGTATACTAACCTATTTTTTTAATGCATTTATATAATACATTTACAAACCTAGCAAGTGTTATTTCATAACTTAACTCATTAAGCATCAATCTTTATACTGTACAGGAAACCCTCGATAACTCGGCACATATGGGGCTCTGGCCTTGCAGAGTTATCCCAAATTCTGACAAATCGAAGCAGTTCCCCCTCCTACAAAAATACAATAACAAATTATCGATCCATATAAGTGTACAGTACATGTAATTACTAAATGTTAAAAAGTAATACTTACCAGCACTGCAGGCAAAGAATGAAGCATCATAATAGGTGACACACATGCACGGTAAGTGACAGAGGTATGGTAGGCGAGACAGAGGCATGGTAGGTAACGTGGGTGGTTAGATATGCTGAGATTTTCCCAGATAATTTTATATATGATGGCATTTCCCGAGACCATATCCATGCCAAGTTATATGAAATTCCAAGTCACCAAATACCAAGTTTCATGGTCTCAATAAAAAGGTCACTGGAATACCAATTTTTGTGTCACTTAATATTTATTGACGGTTTCTATTATTTCCTATTTATAAGCATGACTTACCTTATACATATTGCAAGTCGTTGCCTTGGGCAAATGACTTTTTGGTTCCTGCAGTGTTTCACCAAATCCTCAACCAGGGAAAGAACATGTGCGAACTCTTGTCTGCTCAGACGAAAATATTTTTTGAATTTCTCTTCATCCAAGCTTAGATCTTTTACCAGAGTATTGTAGACACCCTATTTGGTCTGATGCAGCAACAATCTATGAACCCATCATCTATGTTTCCTTGTCCGTTTTTCCTTCAATGCACTGGGAACCATCTTTTCTGCCCTGTTCCAGGCCCCGATGTGGGTCAGTGACCTGTGCCCGGGTGGGCTAATCCCCGAAAAAAAAAAAAAGCTGCATGCAAATGGAAACAGGGGTGTCCATTTTTCAAGGCAAATTAATGCAAATGCATACCGCAAACGCATATACGAAATCCTATCTTTAATCTGACATACACTATGGACTTTTACCCTTCCCTCATACCAATAACTGGTATTACTGTTTTATTATTGTACAGGAAATCTTTACTAACATGGTTACCATGATGCTCTTCTTGCCAAACTTCAATCACATTGATTTATCTTCCAGACAGCAGCTTTGTATGAACAAGCTAGCTAAGGTAACTGAAAGGCATCATACTGGTAAAAATAGTTTATTAATTTAATATCAATTACTGACTCAGCGCAAAAAAAACAAAAGAAAAAGTTGAACAGGTACATAAGAAGGAGATTTTTTTTTTTTTAAAAGAGATGGACTAGTATGCCCTACACATGCATTTTCCTTTTTTTTCTTCTTTTTAGTGAGTACGTGTGTGTGTGTGTGTGTGTGTGTGTACTGAAACACAGTATAGTAATGTGAATAATAAATCAGAAGTAAGAGACAATGAAGGCTCACCTCGAAGGGTTTTCATAAAATAAGGTAAACATGTCACTGAGACTAAGAATGGAATGAATTGTCCATTATGAAACTAAAACAAAATTTTCATAACACATTGTAAAATGTAAATAATCCTTCACAGAAAATAAAAAATTCTATATAATAAACACCATACACCTTACTTTAACGAGAATAATCTTCATTGCTAATTATCAGCTAACAAAAAATTTCACATTTGTCTAGTTCTAATCACCTTCACATCTGCTGATGTCTTGAGGTTACTCAAAAGGTGCAGACATTGCCTTTGCCTGTGCTCGTACTCTCTTCTCATATTCCAGTCGATTTTGGCTGGAAGAAAAAATAAATATGAAAAATTACCACAATCTATGCTACAGAATCTCATTCACACATGATATGATCTGCACATTTAGGCATAATCAATTAAAAAATTCTATATGCTCTTTAATCTATTCACTTTACCATAGATTTTCCTGTCAATATTAGTTTTAAAACTCTTTCCAAATGCCTAAAACACCACACTACAGCCATTTTCAGGGCCTTATTAGTGAAATACCTGTATTGCAGGTAAATTTAATTCCACAACCCTCACTTTTATTTTGAAAGTTTACAGATTAACCAGCTAAATACAGTACTCCACTGACCATTTATTTCACTAGTAGTGAACAGTCAACCCTCGCTTTACGCGGTTCCACTTTACGTGTTTCCACGTTTACGCGGTACCCTGCCTAACACGGAATGCTCACTTTCCGCGGTGTGTGTACCCTTTTATACGGAGAGCAGCGTGAGCAGGGTGCGCACAAGGTCGTCCAGTCATCAAAACATTACCGAGTTCTTCACCCGCCACAGCCGGCCCAAGTCAGTGATAATGATAGTGAGGATATGGACTTATATGGACTTTGAGGGGTTTGACAAAGAGGCCCTGCAAGCCTCTGTGGTGGATAGTGATACAATTGATACAAGTGATACAGGTGAGAGCCAATAATCTGCCCTCTGCCTCGGAACCAACCCCCCATCCCCGTGTGCCCAGCCATCTTTTCTACTAATGTAAGTGTTAAAAAACCTAATATTATTGATATTTCTCTTAATTAGTAATTGTGTGTGCATTCCATCATAAAATTTAGAAGTTATTTTTACTACAACGTAGGTATTGTGTCTGAAAAAGTGGAGTTGGGGGTCGGCCCGGTCTCTATTTCAATTAATCCCATATGTTATGCTGTTCACTTTACGCGTTTCTCACTTTACGCGAGCCGCCGTGGGTTCAATTGACCGCGTAAAGTGAGGGTTCACTGTACGCTAAAACCACCCAAATATTGCATTCTAAAAGCCAGTTCCATATGAAAATTTTTTTTCTTAAATATTACACTTAAAATTAACTTTTGTAAGCTCTAGGAATTTGATACAAAAAATCAGGTACTGCACAGCATTTTGGTATCTTAACAGTTTATTTTTCGTTCTTAATTTTATGGATGACTTTTCAATACAGGTACACCAACGTTTTTCCGGGAACTGATAGTCCGGCACCTCCTTTGTTCCGGACAAAATTATGAGAGGGCACTTAACCTCCCTCCCAGAGCGAGGTAGTTTTAGGCTTAAAGTTTTTATCTTATAAAATGTCACAGACTAAACTTTGCAGAATATACCTTGCATTGTTGGAATCCTTGTAAGATAGTGATTAATTTAAGTATAAACATCAAATAGTTTGCACAAGAGATAAAAATTTAAGTCTTTAGTGTAGTACATTTGAGTACAAAGTGTACACAGTACAGTAATGTTGCTCAAAATTATGGCCTATTTACATTTAACATTTGTTTAATAGAAGTTTCTAGCAGTCCAAAGGTACTTTAGAGCCAAGGGAGGTGTATTAGTGGGTCAGAGGAGTACTGTTGAAGTATATTACGTGACCTCGGTTGGTCCGGCAAAAGACAATCTAGCAAGGCTTTGGAACCAAGGGTGCCGGAAAATCGGTGGTCTACCCGTATTATTGTCCTTTTTAATGTCTTCCTAAAGACCTGTAACCAACCTCCACTGTATTAGTGCTTCAAGATAGTATATAAAAATTTATCAATCTTAAATGTGCAAAATGCGGAATTACAGTACTCGAACTTGGAATAAAAATAAATAAAAAATCATGCTTAAAGATTAGTTAATTTACCTCAATCAAACTTTGCTTCAATACACCCTCCTGAATACACTACCTAACAATACTGTACAGGTGGCAACTTCACAAAGTAATTTCAATTTTATCTGAAGATCTTATTTCTATCAATCCCCAATTTGTGTGAGAAAAACAGAATTTTGCAACTGGCCGAGTTGGAAATGAAAAGCTCGTACGACCAGAGTAGGCAAGCAGTTAGGGCACAGTGAGGCCTTGTGGGAGTAGAGAGTGAATGGACATACGAGGCAGCCTGCATGCTTCCCCAGCATCACGTTATCCATAGTTGTGTGCCATTACTATTGACCACAGCAATGTCGTCAAAACAACAGGCATTGGGTAATAAAACTATGATTCATAATACATTGACATATGATTAACTAACCAATAAATTGTGTATGCTTCAGCCTGAGCAGGGTCCTTGATATTGGGGTCATTCAGAAGGTCCTGTATGCCCAACAAGATCTGTTTGATGGTAATGGCAGGCCTCCAATCCTTCTCTTCATCTAGTAGGGATAAGCATACAGTTCCTATAAAAGGAAAAGAAAAAATTACCTTCCATTTATGGTATATATAATAAAGGAGAAAGAAACAAACAAAATACACCAATGCAACCAATTATTTTAACCTACTTCAATACAATTTTATAATACATACTGTACTAATTCACTCTTGGGTGAAATGGGCAATTTTTTTTCCTTACTTGTGGGGAAGAAAAAATGGGTTGATATATTAATTACCCGGTACGTACATTAAATCATGACCTCCTACTTATAGGAAATATTCTTCAAACAAGAAAAATTGCAGAATACCAAGAAACATACCAGATGGGTAAACATTTGGGTGAAACAATGGTGGCTCAAACTTGCACTTTGGTGGTGTGGATGGGTAGTCATCCTTGAAGATCATGCGTAACCGGTACAGACCACTCTCCCAGGGGGTCTGTTTTACAAAGATTTTTTTTTTAAATTAAAAACAACAAATTTTATATACACACACTCTAGTTACACTTATGTTCTAAATGAGAAAACTGCATTTAGCACACTCCAATAAAGTTCTGCATAACTCATGACAGTCTTCCATATTAACATACAGTACAACCAATAAGTGTTGGCCATTTTTCTTTAAGTTGGAATAAGCTAAATGACACCCTTGTTGTAATGTCGTGCACAAGAGCAAGGGTGTGTCTTGCTCTCTTAACCGAGTGATAAGAAATGCTACCTAATATAATTTAATGACTTTTTTTAACTGTTAATCAGGAATCTAAACATTTCAAGGTAGACTTAAACTATTACACATTCATCAAAGGAAGCCAAGACAAACAACCATTATAAAAAATACAAATTAATGACACTGAGCAACAACAAACCAGCAGATTTCAGCAGGCAGACAGACATGAACCTATTTTCTTCAAATTTCTTACTCAATAAGTTCAACTAAACCAAATTTAAGCATGGAAATACAATATGTACTGAATAAAACAGGAGATGGAAAAAAACAATCCACGTAGTGATGGCTACCGAATAGTCTATTTTATCCAAACAAATCTCATTGGATGTAAAACAGTACTGTACCACAATGCAGTATGTACTTTAACCCTAGCGGTAAATTATCCCTTGGGTACCTGGTATTTTGTTCTAGCGAACACCAGACGATTCAGCTGAGAGAAAACCCTCGCCTCTAAAGGGTTAGCCCTTTAGTGGGCAAAGTAGCCCTTAGGTACAGTATTTTATTCCGGCTAATGCCAGACGATTTTATTCAGCAGTGAGAAGCCCCTGCCTTCTAAAGGGTTAAACATGTACAGTACCAATGTGAATGAAACTACAGGTAGTTCAATAGTTAACAGGCTGACACCATTTACAGATGAATGAACAAGCATATATTCTAAATTTCCTTCCAGTTTTACTGACTGGGAAAAAAAAATTATGAAAGGATAAGTATAGGCAGTGCCACAAAAGAGAGTCCCCAAAACTCATTTTCATATACATGTACAGTATCAATTATGAGGGTTGGAGAAACACAAAACTTACCCCCTTCTTTCCTGGAATGGCACATTCCCAGTTCATCAGATTTAAAGTTCCATCTGGGTTTTTTGTAGGTCGTGCAATGAAACCCTGAAAGACATATTCTTTTAAATGTTTTATATATACTGCACACCTGAATACACACACACACAAAAAAAGTAAAGATACTGAATACACACACAAAAACACAAAGATACAGCATCATTATAATCATTAAAAAAAAAGAAAAATCTATTTTCACTTACAAATGGATGATCTTTTCTCCAAGCCTTTCTCTCCTCAGCAAGTCGAGCAATTGCAATTCCAGACATTGTGTAAATTTAACTGAAAAAATAAAACATTACAGTAATAATAAATGCACACTATCCAGCATATATACAGTGCAGTACATATTCAAATGCCAGCACTATACTCTATAAATAAAAGACTGTAGTGATGTCACAAAGCTCCACAACTGCAACTTCAACTGTGGAGCAACAGCATAAATTATCACAACCGCACGAACCCATGCGGTTGTGAAACAATCACAAACGAAGGTTGAGAGCTGAGAAATTCATTGGGCATTGGGACCCTCCAACCAGTGAGTTGCCTTTATGTATAATATGCTACAATAATAGATATACTGAACAATGTTTTTACATCTTTACAGCGATAAACCGTGAGACGTGAGTAACTTGCTTAATTACAAGTGACCATTTGTGACCTTTTCCACACATTGAGTGTAAAATAGTACAGTAGTAGTATTTGACAAGCTGATGAGCATAAGCCTCTTGTTTTCCCCCCATTAAAAAGCCATAATTTTAAGCAAAGCAAGACTAATTTAATATACAACTTGTACCCAAATGTACTAAGTTAATTACTAATATTTTATTTAGTGCAAACTGGGATATTTATACTCAAATTAATCACAATCTTGCAAAAATTCCAGCAATGCAAGTTATACAGTACTCTGGTAAGTCAAGTCAGTGACATTTTATAAGAGAAACACTTAAACTCTTTGTCTTGTATTGTATAATCCTGAGTCCTTGACCTGCACCAACCTTCCCCCTCCACTGACAACTAATCTCCCCTCCCTGACTGTGAACACTCCACCACCACCCTACCCCCTTCCTCCCAGCCAGCCAGCAGGGGAGGCATCATGGCTGTGATCAGGATTTTACAGGAGGAATTTGGTTTAGGCTTTAAGGTTTTCTCTTTAAAAATGTCACAGACTTGACTTTGCATAATATAACTTGCACTGCTGGAATCCTTGCAAGATAACGATTAATTTGAGTATAAATATCTCGTAGTTTGCACTAAGAGATAAATTTTTTAGTCCTTCAGTTTAGTACATTAGAGTACAAGTAGGACACTAAAGTAGAGTAATATGTTGCTCAAAATTATGGCTTTTTCAGAGAAAAATCACAGGAAGATAAGTAGAAAAGTTCACACAGGTTACAGACTGAGCAGATGTAAACAAATCCCACACACCAAGTGGCACATTTGGCATAGAATTTAACCGAGTTAAGCTCGATTTAGTGGAAATTTCAATTTAACGGAAAGGGGTGGCTCAAATTAGTTCATTAAATTGAGAAAATACTGTAATCATAATAATAACAAATAAAAGATAAAATACTAATTTTGACCTTATAATAATTATTATGGTTAATATTGATGACTGACTCACAGACTGATTACTTTCTTAATTTTATCAGTGAGTTCTGATATGATAATCATTTCTTATGACTATGCTTTCTTTGGTAGATAATTAGGTGCCGAGGTGCACAATACTCTGTCTTTACGGGCTTGATCAATGCCGATGCTCAGTGTTATGCTTAAGAACCATTCGGTATGGACGGCTGCTCCGACATCCACAAAAACGTAAAATTACACCATATCATAGTACTGTACATTCATTCTGTTTAATACATCAGGGGGTCCACCCCCCGAATAGGAAGTTAGGTAAGGTTGGGTAGGTTTGTTTGGTTAGGTTGGTGAGGTCTTCTAACAAAACTTCTGCTATTTGTTTTTCATATCAACTTACGTTAGGTTACGTTTAATTTAGAGATAACCACTTTTTAACACATTTGTACAAAGTATGGGAGTCCACTATATAACACAGTGAAATTGCGGCATTTTTATAATCGTTTTCTATGAAAAATTAGCCATGGGCGAGTCATCAATTCTGTAATTACTATTATTTTCAAATATTCTGATAAATGGTAGAGCGAGATGGAAACAGTATCCAAACTATGGACTGAAAGGTTAAAGCAGAAAACAGATTTCCATCCTACAAATGTAAACAAACTGTGCAGCTTCCTCTCACTTTCCGGGTACTACCGTTCATTATTCACGGGTATGCTGCCTCGCCGCTAACAAAATTACTTAAAAAAGATGCAACATTTGTTTGGAATAATGAACAGGAAAACAGCTTTAGGGCTGGTGAAGCCTCAAATCAACTTACTTCTAAATTATCATCATCTTGGAATGAATTAGAATTATTTACACCCCCATCACCCTCCTGTCCTCAGTGGCCCCTCACCCAAGATGCCACAGCTTGGCTCACCACCTATGTAAGGGGGCTACCACCCACTATGCACCACAAAAACTCACTGCTGTACCACCACAACCACCTCTTGCATTACAACAACCCTCACTCAGCAATTGCCAATTACTCTCTGCCTCACATCATAGACTCCTAACTCGCCACCAAGACAAGTACGTAAAAAAAAAAAAAATTTGTATGGCTTTGAATTTTATATCTTCAATTTCCTAATAATAATAAAAAATTGTATGTTATTTTTTTTAAGGTATATGGGTACCCTAAATTTCCCAAATGCTGTAGTAATTGGGTTAAATGGCCCCCCACGACACTCCCAGACATAGCTTAGTTTGCCAATTACCAAAATTTCATTACCTTATTTGTTTCCCACACCATAATTGCAATCTGTTAATTGAAACAAATGTTTTAGTAAAACCTCAGAAAATACCTATATTTAGCGTGACAAATCAAGACATGCATTACTTATAAAACAGACTTGTGAGAAGGAGCAACTTTAAAGAATATTTTCTATTGAAGAAAAAACTTCTTTCTTGAATAAAATGGAAGGACTTTCTCCCCTTCATTTTTCCCTATTTGTTATTAAGAGTAAATAAAGTCTGTGCATGCCAGGACAACACCATGTTTGTATTCCTCCTCCTGTTAACAAGAAGATAAAAGGACACCCTAACCAACCTCCCTAACCCAATCTAAAATAATGTGCTTTATATTCAAGGGAAGGTAGGCTAGGTTAGGTAGGTTTGATTGATTTATCATATCTACAGGAGAAGCATGTACTGTACGCTGTTTAGGTACAGTACCACACAAAAAATGCTGTAAATCCTTGTGGTTGTTGTTATATTATTAATATAAGGATTTTATAATCATTTATATAAAAATTATCTAAAGTTGCTGCCAGTTTTCATGTGTATGGAAAAAGAAACATTTTTGTCAAACAAGTCAGGGTGGGCCTCTGAGATATATGCAATGTGTTGACAACGACTTGTGTTTAGGGGAAAAAAAATCCGAAAACAAAAGAAGGAAAGTTGCAAATCCATTTTCTAATACACTGTATACTGAATTCTAAAGTCAACAAAGTACTATATTTGTACAGTATATACTGTACCCGTATTCAGAGTGCCTGCATTGCTGGGTACCCAGGTAAGTGTATAATACATATGTACAACTAACATTGTCAGCTCGTTCTAAACCTCGCTGATAAAATTTAGCGACTTAGTATATTTTTACCCAGTACTTTTTAGTTAACTGTCTGACTGCTCTTTATTTGATAAAATAATATTAAGTGAAGGTAAGGGTTGGAAAGTTTCCTCTACGTAGTGGATATTTTGCCGTGACTGGCTAAGTTCCTACTAACGCTATTTTACCAAAGTGCACTCTGATTGGCTAAGTACTTTCTATTTAATATGACGGGGTCCGCCTCCCAGCTAGGAAGTTAGGTAAGGTTAAGCAGGTTTCTTTGGTTGGTTAGGTCAGGTTCTAGTAAATGTTGCCTCTTTTATAATAAGAACATATGTGGAAAAAATTAACAAAATCAAACAACTCCTTCTGGTTAGGTATGTTTATAGCTACACAGCAATCGACTCTCAGCAAAATAAATGCCAAATGACGCCAGAGTCACGGTCACATATCGTTCTAGAGTTGTAAGCCGGTAATGAACGATTAGCCAATCAGAGTGCACTCACGGTAAAATAGAGTTAGTTGGAACTTAGCCGGTCACGCAATATATCCACTATCTGCCCTTAAATTTCTATTTCATTAAAGATTCCAAGAGACCTCAGGTATATATTATAATTGCATTCTTGTTGAGTGGATAAAATACATATCAGTATTATTATCTCGTACCGTACTGTATTCTAAGACATGTAACCCAAATAACACACGTGGAACATTACCAATTTAACAAAAATATAAACATAACAAATCTTGTGAAAGTGGTGTAGCTGGCTACGTAAGCTCATCATTATATATTTTGGTTAATATTCGTCCACTGGCTGTCCGCAGGTTTCCAATTTTCAATATTACACACACACACACACAGACTATAAAAAACAAATATACGACATCGTAACATATCTGGTGCAAATCAATATTAATGGAGTATCCCACAAACTTCTAGACATAAAATTCTGTACCCGCCATGTTGCCGAGTCACTTTTCTTGTCCTGTCCTGTCCTCCCCTTTGCGACATGACAACCAATGATCTTGAAGTATCGTGTCATGTGACTTGGCCGGCCAAGTTACATAGAAATAATGCTAGGAATGGGTTAAAAGCTCAATGCAACAAAGGGAGGACTCAGATCACATCGAACTAAAATGTCTACTATGCAAACAGTACAAGTATGAGGAACAAAATGGATGAAATCAGGGTCTTGGTATGTACCGAAAAAATCGATATACAGTGTAATAGCATTCACCTAAACATGGATAAACTTACTCTCGCTTGAGTTACCTGTTGAATACCAAATTACAGGTTACAAATTATTCAATACCGATAGTCAGATTAGGAAAGATGGCGTGGTAGCAATCTATTTCAACAGTCAAAGATAATCTGAAATGTGAAATAAATAGGGAAATAAAAACTGAACTGAATACATAAACCATTTGAATAGAATTAATCGATGGTAGAGAAAAATTAAACATAGGACTAATATATAGACGACCTAATCTTTACAGAGTTAATGAGCGACTTATTTGGGATGAAATGCACTGGGCATCCAGACATATCAAAGTCTGTAGAGTAGGCGACTTTAACTTTAATCAAATAGATTGGACCGACCTTACAGGTAACTCAGAATCAGGGGAATTTCTTGAAACAGTTTGAGGCATTTTCTGGACGCGAGATGATATGGCCGCATCAGCGCTTTGCAGCCCTGGCGGGTTAGTCCTACATATTAACCAAACTATTTTTGTATAAAAACTGAGAACAGCCAATGGACGAATATTTACCTATACAGGGTATTTCTAATGTGCAACATATAATTTTCCAAATAATCTGCAGCAAGTAAATTCAGGTAATGTTTCATATGAAAATTACCAAGGTGGAGGCGTCTACAATTTTAAGCCAAAAGATGTTTTTGATAACAGTACAGTATCGTATATACTATACAATATGACCTTTCGGTATTATTTTACTTTAGGATATAGTGCACCCCAAAGTTAAACTACCGAAACATTTTGAACCCCATATATACCTGGCAGAAATAGATAATAGCGACAATTGAATTTAATTGATTTTACGTACTTTTCAGTCTTCGTCTATGTGAGGAGATGTTATCGGCGTGAAAGCAAGCTTATTATGAGCGTGTTTACATCATGCATGTGTCTTTCAGTCATGACCAATGGTGTATCTCATCAGGCGATTTCTTTTCGAACAATCAAAATTTAATTTTTTCGAAGGGAGGAACTAAGGTACGGATTTGAAGGATTTCAATTTCAATGACCAAGGCCAGTGTGGAAATGGCCATGGTAGAAGTTGAGTGTGAATCGTTCTCCTCTGATTATTTTAAGTTTATTGCCGAGTTTTACGAGACGGTCAAGCTATCCAATTCCTACGTAATCACGGTGTTCTCCCTACGTCTGTTGAGCGCCCGCACTGTAAATTGCCTTGTAAATTTAGAAAGAACAAGCATCAGAGGTTGACACTGACACTATCCCTGGTCCTTCCACTTCTAGCTAAGGTATTGTACTTCTTGACATGGCTCGCCCCAAAGTTTAAAACTACTGGAACATTTAGATCTCATTATTTTGAATCTTTTGAACCCCACTTTTGGAAATGAATAGGATAGGTTAGGTTCGGTTAGTTTAAGCTAAGCCTTCCGGGATCCGGGGGCAGAGCCCCCTGGCTAGGAGTTAGGTTAGACAACTCGTTTTTGTGTTTTTCCCCCACCAAAAACCCCAATTTTCCCCATTATCGATGGTGGGGGGGGGGGAGAAAAACGAACAATTTCTGCCAAAAATGAAGGTCAGATTCGTTTAAAAAATACCAAAATACACTGGAAAAACATATTGGTCAACCCCTAGGGGCTCATGTCCGTAAGTACAAATTTACTGGCCTTTCTAGTTTTGATACCTTCATAATAATAATAATTTGGAGTACTTGTCACTATATCAACCTCAATCAATTCCTAATTTCCTAATGCTTATCCCATATTTCCTGTGTTGGGTGTAACAAAAACAGTAAAAGGCATAATGGATCAAAATATCTGAGCAAATGCGTGGGTTTAAACTCCCAGTAGTTTAGATGTGACCCTTGTGTACATAACTGTGACCGTATTTTCCTGCTAGTATTACAATACATACGTTATAAAAAGTTTAACAGGAGTAAATCTTGTTCTAAGCATTTTGTCGTTTACAATCTCCAGTTTATTACATACCCGAGTATAAGATAATCCCAAAGACACCTCCAATCAAATATAAGTATCTAGTTAATGCAAGTATTAAGGAGAAAAGTATCTGATCAAAAGAGCCCTTAATGTCGCCCTACTGTCTTGTTCCTGCCGGGCATTGTACCTTCCCTCTCTTCCTCTCTCCTGCCCTCTTATGTACGGTTAAGAATCCCTCAATTAACTTATCCTCATATGTATTATCTATTCATAACAGAAAAGGCAGCGGTTGAGACTTACCTTTCCTAATTCAGCTCTCCTTGCCTCAAGAGTCCTCACTCCTCACTAGATTGAGAAAACAACCGAATTTACCCTGAGTCTCGCCGGTTCTCGCTGATTGTCGTTGGTGGTGGGGGCGCCACATTTAAATTCTTGCGCGCCAAAATTTACAAATCGTAAATTTTCCCAAAGAATGTGGTGAAGAATATTAATTGCGCTGTTATTGGAGGAATCTATATGAGAAGTAGTAAACTAACAAAATATTTTAACATTTAATGTATGAGGCTGTTGACAACACATCATCGTTGGAAGGTCATATAAAAATAAAAGATAAGTCGACATGGTAAACCACATCACGGATATGATCCGGCGATCATTCACTAATTATCTAATGTATCCCATTTGCCATTTGTTAGGGAGTTCTCTGATGCAAACGTTAAAAATGTCCCCATCAATGGACAAGCACATGACAGTGAACATGTTCCAACGTTGGCAGCGCCGCGGGTACATGTAGTGTTAATTACCAATCATTTTGATATGTTGTGTTTATTCATATAGTTTTATTGGATTAATTTAAATTACTAACACATAATGAATTTCATTATTTTTTAATTGGACTAAATGAAAAACAAATTTTCATGAAAATGCGAGTCTATTATACAATTCGGTAACCTACGGGACAAAACCAGAAATTGTCCGTGGCTAACGTGATGCTGCTTTACTCTTGGAGCTCTTCTGAGTTTTGATTGTATAGTGATAAATTTTAATAATTATAAGAATAAATTTCAGTAACTTTTTTTAATCATACAAATGAAAAGTATGTGTATATACCACCTATTTTACTATAATAGCAAACTAACATAGCAAGGGGAGAAAAATACTTTACTTCCTAACATTAAAAAAAGAGCACGCACTCGTGTGCTCAAAATCAAAACGCCACCACGGTCGCTGGGTATCAAACACCCAAAACTTGAAAAATAACGCTTATTTGTGTCTGCTCAAATACTCCTTCAATTTCATTAAAAACCTACTTAAATGAAAGAAGGTACATAAAAATCGGCTATTGTAAGAACCAAATGCACTAGTGTTATAAAATAAGAATAACAGAAAATTTTGCGATGGGTTTTTAACACCAGCGACCGCAATGGAGTTTGATAAGGGAAAATCAAGAATTTTCTCAATGGCAATCATGATACTGCTTCATTTTGTGGGTGAGTTCCTCTAAGTTTGGTGTTATGTTGATGGACAGCACAACGCAAGTCCTGCTGAGATCCACGCGGTTCTTTGCTTTAATTTTGATCTTATCAAGACCTGAAAATGCTTGTTCACAGAGATATGGTGTTGGAAAAGGGAGAAGGGCTTTTTCAGCCTCCCGGGTCAAAATGGGCTTATACTTGAGTTGGGTCCAAAGTTTCGAATACTGGAGGCTTTCAAAGTGTTGCCTCTGCACTTGATTTTCCTGGAGGTCTATAAGTTCTTCTTGAAATCCTGGAATATCTTCTCCGACTTCACTGGCGTTCACATTGTACACATTCCTGATCCAGCTATGCTTCTCGAGGTCGACGTTTTCTGGAAAATACCTGTCCATTTATTCGTGAAGGTTCTTCAGATGATCTTCGAAAATACTTTTGATGTCAACAAAGGGATATTTCTGACGAATCTTCCAGCACAGCACTCACCTTACAAAAACCACGAGTTGAGGGTCTCCTGCAATGTCCACAGATTCATCCATCTGCAACGAAAAATTGCCTGCTTAGACAGCGAGGAGTGTCAGGTCAGGCTACTCTGTGGTCTGCTTGGGGCTCGAGTAGTGGACGTAAACGGGCTCAAACATGTTAGGTGTATATGGATGCTTTATTATCCACAACTATTCTACTTTAGTTAGCATTTCAATAATTCTTCATAATGTATCAGTGAAATGATCCAATTATAATTTTACAATATTTCATAATTTTTCCCGAGGATACCTCTCAACCCTCGTTTGGGTCGCGACCATCCCTAGCCTAGTAGAGCTCCCACACACCACACTACTTAATTTTATAAAAAAAAAAACCATAAGTCGCTGGGGTGTTTTTCTAATAAAACTCCCCAAAATACTGTTTATTCTAAGCCTAAAATATGGGAAATTTATTTTTCCCTTAAACCTAAGTAAGCAACGACGTATCCTACCCTATATACCTCCCTATCTATAGGCTGCCAACTATAAGGCTGTATGTAATGGGATTACAACTATTCATCGTCATTTAAGATACTGAGAGGTTTCCAAATGTTCGTATATTTGCTTAAATAGCGAAGAAATTATATTAATGAATTGGCAACCCAATTACAACCAGAGCTTCCACCAAATTTCTTCATTATTTAAGCAAATATACGAAAATTTGGAAACCTCACGATGGTTACTTGCCTGAACCATTCACACAAAAGAGACATTTCGAAGTTACATCATCACAGACATGACGGCTGAGCCTACTGTTAATAAAATCTTAGATCCTAAAAATGAAAATATAATAACCAGCATCGAATTTAATATGGATAATGTTTATGATGCAAAATATAGATTTAATGCTTTGTTACACTGACACGTTAGGAATGTAATTTAAATTTTTGTGGACCACCTGCACTTAGTTTATGAAACAAACACCATCATTGCAACTTTTACAATCCAAATGTAACAGTGTTACTGGTGCGATTGTAAAGAGCATTTTCCTGTACAGAACTTCGTATCACTATAATTTTCAGCCTTTCGTCATTTTCAGCCTTTCGTCGATACAATTAATCGCCTTGGGCCTTGGCAGTCAAGGTATACTGTTTACTGTTAAGTCCCAGGATTTTGCCATGCATCCAGTGCGTACTTCCAGCATCCGTGTTAAACAGGAGTGTCCAGTACAGTATAGCATTCTGAACTCCTGAGCTGTTTACGTGGCCGCGGCCTGGGAGCTACCCCAGTTTGATTAGGTTTAATGCAAGGTCAATATATTAACCTTGGTTTAATGATACAGTAATTGTATTAATCGTACCTATTTATCTATTAAAATATTTTTTGGGGGTTCTTACTTCACCTCACCTTGGTCAAGGTAGGTTTGGTTAGGTAAGATTAGATTAGGTTAGGTTTAATGATAATTGTATAAATCGCATGTGTAAATATTTTTTGGATTCTGACCTCACTTTACCTAACCTAACCAAAATGGGGGAGCTTCCAGACTGCGCTTACAACGGTTTCAAAGATATCACCCATGAGCATTATTAGCAAGGGAAATGAATGCTCAGATCAAGATCTATACAGGATCCTATAATAGACCTTGGCTCAGACTGTGGCAACACCCTAGGCCTTGGAAACGCATGCTGGCCTTCCTTCGCGAGGCTGTTCCGTTATAAATAGTCCACCATGGATATGCATAAAATGCCTTCTTAATACTTTATATATTAATAATACTATATAGTTCAAGCTCACTGTAGAACAAATCTCATTATACAATCATGGTTGGACTTTTATTAGCACTGAGTTGAAATAACTTGGTTTTGTTTCACTTTTCTTGAGATATTTGCATACGTCAATGCTGTACTGAACTATTTGTAGCTCACGTAGATCATTATACAACAGGGTACAGTAGAGGAAACAGTGGCGTTAGCTCAACACTCAAGTAGATTATCTAATCATGATTGAATTCCCGTTCACGTACAGTATAATTAGTTGAGACAGATCAGGATTGCATACTGCTACCGTAAACACACACACACACTACCGGTAATTAATTTAACGTGCATGACAAGCGTTTTCCACATAGCTTGTAGTCCACTTTGTGTTGATTGGCTATGAAATAAAACTAATGAATTTCTTTTATATTTTTTACTGTTGTGGAAGTGACATGCTCATACCAATATGAAATGTAATAATTATGCCTTCCTCACCAGCAAGACTGTATAAGAGATTCAATACCAGATTCTGTGTAGAGTCTCCTGCAGGAGGTGGCAGTCAGACAAGGCATGATGGAATACTAAACTGGGTGTGTCTCAGTACAACACACCCTTCAACACTACAGGGTTCTCACACCTACTTGGGAACTTTTTTTGCTTAGTTTTTGTACACAAAATTATGGCACATATGTTATTTGACACAATTATACAATAAAACTATATTGTAATAAACTAGAAACTAGGGTGTTTCTTCTTTAATGTTATACAGTATAGGGGATAAAGTTACAATTGTGAAATAAATTTTATGTATCCATATAATTAATTTAAGACAAAATATTATAATTCGTATGAGTTCTACTCATCAATGGCAAGTAAAAGTGAAGTTTAAGTAAGTGTGCAAGTATTCAGCGTAACATGACGGCATTGTTGTGTCAAACTTTAAGTATCAAACATTAAATTCAAGAGGAGTTGTTGGCCTCGCAGGGCACATCTTAACTAAACTCTACATCAGTCTATGCTCGAGAATACACGCTTATGAGGCCTATCAAGATATGGAAGGTTACTTATAATACACAAATCTTATGCACGTAGTTACTCTACTGTAGAATCAGTGTGTGAAGTTTACTTAAAACGCTAAAAGCTACTTTTAATAGGTAACATATACAGAGTAACTCAATGTTAACTCGTGTGCAAAATAAGTTAAAAAACAAAATAAAAGTCAATCTTAAGCAAAGTTACATATGCACACAGTTACTCATGTAGTTTCCTTTGTGCAAAGATACTTATACTGTAATGGAACAGCACTCTGATGTAGAGTCGCTGTGTCTGTATGTTAGTACTGTATACTGAAAGTAACTATTCTCACTTCAAGTCACTTAAAATGGAAAAGTTATTCTTGTATCGAGGCAAAGTTTCCTACCACAGCAGGATGTACTTAAAGTTAGTTTTAATACTGAAACACTGGTAGAAAAGGAAGCTACTTTGTGCTTAGAATATTAGATAATAAGGTGTTACTTTATATAGTGCGAATAAGTTACTTTGTTGAAATAAGGTAGTTTTTGTTAAAAGAATGAAAACAATAAATTTACTTTGTGAAGAGACAATGGCAATAAAAGTCTTTGTTTTTTATATAATTGTAATTGAAGTCACTTATGTAAATATTATGGCAAGGAAGTCACATTTCAATATAATGAATCATCTCAAGTGTGATACTGTTATGTCACACCTGGTTGAGACATGTTATACTGCATGTTAAAATACTGTGAAAGTCAGTTTACACTAAGATACTGCTGAGAAAGTTAATCATAGGTTGAAATACTGATAGAAGAAGTTGTATCATGTTTACATCTTGATAAGTAGAGGATTACTTATAAAGTGAAGTAGGTGGACTGAGTCTGTTTTCTACTGTGTATCCAAGGCAGAACCTGAGCCTGTCACGTGTCTACTCTCTTGGTTCATTTCCCGAGTCATGCTTTATATTCTGCCGATAAACTATTGAAATATTTCCTATCTTTATTATATCACTTAAAATTGTCCTATAAAACCTTTCCGTTCTTACGCTCCTTATCTGTTTATTTTAGAGCTTTATAATGAAGAAAGTTGTTCGTTACCCCGAGAGTATGCGCTATGGGGTAGTGTCGAGGTAAGGAACCATTTGTCTTCTGTACAAAAAGTCCAAAATATCTACTTCGGTGCGCAAGAACGGCAAAGAAATACTAAAGTTCTCTAAATTCTGATTTTTCCCCTTGAACCTAGTTAATTTTATATACTTTTATTTAGTCTGTTTATTTTCGTTTAAATAAGTCCTCATCAAGAATTGTTAGACAGTATTTTGACAGTTTGGCAATACTGTATTTCTTTTTTATTCATTATTTTATTGTGACACTCATTGTAATATTTCCCTCGTTATTAAACATTATTTTTATCTGATCCTCTACCAAGTTTATTCTCCGAGTGCAATATCGTAATGTCGATGTAATGTAATCATTTCCATTATCAAATTTCCTTTATGTTTTTTTCACAAGGTCTAATCACATTATTTTTATCCCTATAGTCGTCATCGCTATATCACAGTCCATCTACTTTTGATTTTAAATTCATTCTACAATATTTACTTCCCGGTGAGGGATCACTGAAATAAAAGTGTTTTAATCTTCGCGCCTTACGATTGCATTTTATAATTATTGAACTTGTTCCAGTTTTCGTAATATTGTGTTTGCGTTATTCATTGTGTTTGTTTTCATCGTCAACATTTATTTATTTTGTTTGCTCACTCATTCTTTTCTGTAGTTTCGTGACCTCATTGTATTTTTAGTCGTTGATGAAATTTGTTCTATTGTTAAGTCACCTCCAGTTGTTTTTTTGGAGGTCATCGTCGTTGTCTTCGTCAGGTCCTTCTCGAATAGGTCTTCATCGATCAGGTCCTCTTCGGCTACTCAAAAGACTTCATATCGAACACCTGCCAGCGAGGTTCACCTTCTTCATCGAATTCGTATTCCTGACACGCCTGAGTTAGTAGTCTGTGGGGGAAGCAGGGAGAGTTAGTACATAAGAACATAAGAACATAAGAAAGTGGGATACTGCAGGAGGCCGACTGGCCCATACAGGGCAGATCCCTTTCACACCCATCCCAGCACGTCCATGTGCCTATCCAACTTCGTCTTGAAGCTCCCTAGCGTCCCCGATCCTACTATAGCACTCGGTAGCCTATTCCACATATCCACAACTCTATTACCAAACCAGTGCTTGCCTATATCCTTTCTGAATCGGAATTTATCTAATTTAAAGCCATTTGTTCTAGTTATTTCGTTATTACTGAGCTTCAGAACATCTTCCATTTTACCCTTGTTAATCCCACTTACCCACTTGTACACCTCTATCATATCTCCCTAACTCTACGCCTCTCTAATGAATGTAAGCCTAAGCTTTTCAGTCTTTCTTCATATGGAAGGTTTCTAATATTATGGATCATTTTTGTCATTCTTCTTTGTACTCTCTCCAAAGAATCTATGTCCATTCTATAATAAGGACACCAGAACTGAACCGCATAATCCATGTGTGGCCTCACTAATGCTAGGCCACACAGCCTATTAACTCTACTCTCCCCACAGTAGGCTGTGGGGAGAGTAGAGTTAATAGGCTGTGGGGAGAGTAGAGTTAGTAGGCTGTGGGGAGAGTGGAGAGTTAGTAGGCTGTGGGGAGAGTAGAGTTAATAGGCTGTGGGGAGAGTAGAGTTAGTAGGCTGTGGGGAAAGTGGAGAGTTAGTAGGCTGTGGGGAGAGTGGAGAGTTAGTAGGCTGTGGGGAGAGTAGAGTTAGTAGGCTGTGGGGAGAGTAGAGTTAGTAGTGTAATGATTGATTGTCAGACCAAAGCTTACAGCCCAGAATTATTTCACATATAACAGCAAGTACACTACAGACCTCGTGGTACCACCACATTCCGGGTTGACACACCTCAGGTCGACCCTAGGGACTTGACCTCGCCCGCTAATGACGTGAGTTAGCTGGGTGACCGACAACCTCACCTAACCAAGACACCTGGGCAGGACCACACCTGCACACAGCTATCCAGATCAAACCAGTTTAGTGTTAATTGGCAGAGGTCAGAGCCGGCTGTTCCTCCCCCATATAAAGGCCCTGCAGTCCCGTCCACGGCACAGTAATGACTCTCTAACCCTCTCTCACCATGAACGGTTACGAGTTTGATAACGTGGCGCGGATACCGTCCGGATACGCCGACCTGCCCCAAGAAACTAAACCTCCTAGTTCTCCAGAAGTTCTTTGAAACTAATGGGATCGTGGGGGTCACCAAGGTGGAACGTCTAAAGCTCCATGGTGACATCAAGATCACCTTCGTCGAGAAGGGCATGCCCGTACAGCTCGCGGAGATCCCAGACATCAACGGCATTCCATTTAAAATGATTGCCTACATGTGGGACAACCTGAAGCTGGGAGTAATCTCCTACACCGAAATTGCCTACATGGACCAAGCAGAGCTGAGTGAGCTTCTCAAGGGGCAACTTCAAGTTGTGAAGAAGCTGTCCGACACCACTGCCCTCATCGGACACCACTCCACCTTACCCAAGGAGGCTCAACTGGCGTGGGTAACTGTGCCAGTCAAGCCCTACTGCAGACCGATACGGTGTTACAAATGCCAGCACTATGGACACACTGTAAACAAGTGTGAGGCGCAGGAGGACACCTGCTCCATATGTAGCAGCCGCGGACACCACTACACTGTCTGCCCCAACAAAGTTAAAAAATGCGCTGCTTGTGGTGGCCCACACTCCTCCGCCGATCGGACCTGCCCCAAATGGAAGGAGGAATGCAGGGTAGCCAAGGCTCGTCTTGAGAAGAAACTGAACTACAAAGAGGCCCTCCTTGCTGTACGCTCCCAAGAAAAGAAAAAACCAGCAGAAAAGAAACACCAAGAAAAGAAAACTCAAGAGAAGACGCCCACCACACAGAACCAAGAACACCACGTGGCCCGTGGAGCTGAAGCCCACGTGGTCAACCTCACCGACTCTGACTTCCACACCTATGAGGACTTAATACACAAAGAAGACGAACAACAAAACCCAAACACCAACGAATGGACACTTCAAGAGAGCAAGAAGAGGAGGAGAGTGAGAAGAAAATCGACATCAAGCTAAGAAGACCAAGACATCTCCTCCACACAAGAAACCAACACACTCAATCAAGCCGACCAAGCACTGAACATCCATTACCCAACCCAACACGCACCTGACGCTTGCCCTGACGCTAGCCTGGCTTTGTCTTGTCGCCTCCCTGCCGCGTCCAGGCGAGTTGCTGCTGCCTCCATCTTATAATCCCTCACGCAAGCGGTGTTTAGCCACTGCATCTGTTCTCTCCTCCTAAAATTCACTTCAATCCTCCCTTTATTCTTCCCCTGAACCTCCTTCCCCCCTGTCACTAGCATTTCTATTCTATTCGTCCACGACAGACCCTCCGATGGAGACTTTCTAATGACTGCTTCACCCTACAAACAGAGCTGGTAGCAATCTCAAAGGCCCTACAACACGCTGCAACACAACACAACACAACAAGTCCATCATAATTCACACGGACTCGAAATCGGCCATGCAGGCGCTGCAACACAGTCAACCAAGAGACAACATAAGAACATAAGGAGTCTGCAATAGGCCGGTTGGCCTGTGCATTGCAGCTCCTGGGGAGAGTAGAGAGAGTTAATAGGCTGTGGGGAGGGTAGGGAAAGTGCGTTAATGTTCGAAATAAGGCAAACAAAGTATTGGGTTTTATATCTAGAAGTGTAAGTAACAAGAGTGCAGAGGTCTTATTGCAACTATATCTTGCGCTAGTCAGGCCGCACCTCGATTATGCGGTTCAGTTCTGGTGCCCCTATTATAGAATGGATATAAATTCACTAGAGTCGGTGCAGCGAAGAATGACAAAAATGATTCCGGGACTTAGAAACCTTCCATATCAGGATAGGTTAAAGAAACTTAACTTGCATTCCCTAGAAAGACGAAGAGTGCGGGGAGATATGATAGAAGTATTTAAGTGGGTGAAAGGAATCAATAAAGGGGATATAGATAAAGTTCTTATAATATCCGAACAGGATAGGACTCGGAGCAACGGATTCAAGTTGGATAAGTTTAGGTTAAGGAGGGAGATAGGAAGAAACTGGTTCACAAATAGGGTGGTGGACGAGTGGAACAAGCTTAGCAACTTTGTAGTAAGTGAGGGAACTCTGGAAAGATTCAAAAGGAGGCTAGATAGATTCATGGATGATAGAGAGTGGTAGTCACTCTCGACAGGAGCTGCCATGCACAGGCCAACCGGCCTATTGCAGACTCCTTATTTTCTTATGTTCTTATGTTCTTATGTGAGAGTGACAGCCTAGGTGGTGTTTCGTCATTACAGGGAATTGTCAACCCGGGTAGTTTTAGGATGGTTAGATTAGGTGAACTTTTATGTTAGGTTAGGCTACATGTTATAGAAATCCATGAAAAGTAGCACCTCCAGCTTATTTCACCTGACGAATAAACACCTTAACGCTACCGAGGTAAGGGTGAGGCTAAGTAAAGTTAATAAAATAAGGAAAGGCGAGGTTAGCATGTTCTTCATATGATCTTACATTAGAATAAATAAGGTGAGATGAGAAGACTTGTACAGTAAACATAAAATGCTACACAAAGACCGAAGATAACTCACCCGGCCCACTGCTTACATCCCTTGGTGGGCTTGGCCAGACGGTAGCACTGGAAGAGGCCTGTCGAGAAGTAGGCTGACCCCACTTCTTTAGCCTCGCCGCTTCCCAGCCCCACCTTCATCAGGCACTTCCTGAAGCTCTCGTTACAGTCGCAGTGTGTCCTGTAACGCAGGTATAAAGTTTCAGGGTCTAGTATAGGTGGGAAGCTTGTTAGCGGACACGCCAGTAAGTTATTGGCCATAAATGTCAAATCTGTTTACCTGTGAGTTAATGGCTCCTAAAGTTTGACGCAACTATGTCCTCAATACCAGGTCGCCAGCATTCAGTGTTATATGTCAAACTTTCGTGTTTGATATTCTAAATAGACATACAAGCACAGAATAACACTGTGATGCAGAGCAGCTTTGGTGTGATGAAAGGCGTCACAGTGTTGCCAGAAAAACTGATTTGGGAAAGTCGGAAAGTGACAAAGGATTTAATGTAACGTGGTTTTTTCTCTCACAGGTCTTAGTATACGAGGCTATATTGTTGGCCATACCTCACCCCTTCCCTCTATATATATATTTTTTCCCCTAAAACCTTTATTTCTTGATTGTGTTTTTTATTTTCATATCCCTTTCGTTTTGTTACTTATTCTTTCACTCCTATGCTTTAAGACCCTTCTCACCTTCTTGTTTTCAGTAATAAACAAACAATTCTATATTCTGTACTGTTTTCACTTTCATTCCTCTTTCTTTCTCTTGGATTATTTTCATTCCTCGTGCATTCTTCATCCCTTCACTCTCCCATTTCCATGTTCCGAATTTTTTACTTCTCATAGATCTTTCATTCCGACAAGCTATCATCCTCCCTTCCTCTTTTTTACCACACTAGACTCGTTTTTCTACCTGCTTGAAGTATCCATTTCTTCCATTCCTCTCATTCATTAACCATCTCTCTCTTTCGCATGACTGTTTATCCATTTCCTCTCCTCGACCTATAATTATATAATTATTCTCATCGTTGTTGTTTTTTCTGAGTTGTTTGCAAGGAGATACGTAACGCCACATATGCTTGAGGCTACAGAAGCTTGGAACTGCACAGGAGGTAAGTTGACACACTCATTATTTTTCTAGTTTAATTTTTCTCTCCTCTGCCTTTACCCTCTCCCCCTAAAATCTATCTCCCTCCCCCATTACTCCCTCTACCAAGATGCATTCCCCGTTTTTTCTTCCATTTTTCTCTCCCCCGAAATAACATTCCCTCCTTTCATCCCTCACTTTGCTGCCACTTGTTCTAGCCTCTTTCCTCCTTACATGGTGAAGGGAGAGTCGTTGGAGATGTTGTGTCGGGTCTGGCCGGGCTCTAGGTCGTCTGGACAGAGGTCGTGGTCTCGGCAACAAGCGTCCACCTCACGTAAGGGTCCCAGGTCGTCCAGCCCCTCAGCCACGTTCCCTGTGCCGCACCACTTGGTACCTGCAGGGGTAGGAGAGGTATGAGTGACTATAGGGATTTGGTATACATCCGATAAAGCCTTAAATGACAACTGACGTTTCTGCTATAATTTAATGGAAACTAGTTAATATAAGGTAAAAGTAATGCTTAAATTAAGACGCCGTTTACAGTCTTAACTGAACTATACCTAAATTGCGTTAAGTTAAGTTAGTAATGATGCTTTTCATAGTTTGCATTATAATTGTACATACAGTAATGGTCGTCTTAAATTTTCGAGAAAAAATAATAAATGTCAGTCTTACTAGATGAAGGTTAGGTGGAACTGTTGTCAGTCTTATTGGGGTAAGAATGTTGGCAGACTCACCTGGGTATATAATATGAGGGAAATTGGTAGCAGAGGGAGGTTGGTTGCGCTTGTCGTGGGCGGCGCGGGCGTAGCAGGCGGAGATGAGGGCAGTGAGCTCGGCAGCCTCCACCACGGCCACGGGACTCTCGCTTGACGCCAGTTCTCGCATGATCTCGTCCACGATGCGTCTGTGGAGGAACACCTGGGAGTGAGGGACAGCCGGCAGCATGAACGGTGAAACACTCGGGAGGAGAAAATAAATTGTTCTTTAAAGACAAAACAAAGATCTTACCTCCTCCCTTGACTTCCTAGCCTCGTAAATTTGGCTAAATGTTTGTTCGCGAAGCATGTTTGGATGCGAACCCCATCCCCCAGTGGAATATTGACCTAAAATAAAACTGGTTTATTTAGTATTCATTTGCATTACAATCAACAGCTAAGTCAGAATGGTCTAGTGTGTGTGTGTGTGTGCATGGTTGATATGTTTACTGTTATAACAAATGCATTGTTGTTGTTGGTAAGTGACACTTGCAATATATGGTGCTCGTTTGTTTGGGTTTACGACTACCACGACCTATGTTACCCGAGCAGCCAGCCAGAGCTAACTGTTACTGTCTTTCATTTCATTGTTTACGCCCTACCGTTGCCAAGCAGTAATTCAAGAGACGGATTATTATTTGTTTATTATCTTGGAAACTTTATCTTAAAATCAACGTGTCTCTTATTAAATTGATAAATTAGGAAAGATACGCTGATAATCGTTGGTGGGTGACGTATTATCGGTGGTGTACCAGATGTTGGTGGCATCAAAGGAAGGCACTCGCCTCATGTCTTCAGACCATCGACAAAATTCCACCTCAGAGCTCCATGAGGTACTCTACTCTCTGGACGGAACCCATAATCTAAATAACAATAAACTGGAATGACATAATGACACCAGCTAAACTTAAGTCCCGGTCCCAAGTTATCAAAATAATCTCCCAGAAATCACTAAACTCAATCACGGTTTATATTTTGTAAGCACTAACACCAACTGGCTCGTCTGTATCTCCCAAAAGCGCAGGAAAATCTGTGAGAGTATAGCAGGGGGCGTCACAGAGCGGCTCAGGCTGGATGAACAAGACGAACGAGCTAGTGGACAGGTCGTATAAATACTGCATGTGTTACAGAGTTTATAAACACTGTCGTCTTTATTTATTTTTTAATTGAAAATATCACATTGGAGTTTAGTATCAGTATCGTCATCTCAGTTAGACCTGTATTGGAGGGTTTGTGTTAAGTGAAGACTGGGTTTCTATGTCCTTCCGACCCATTTCATCGCCTCTTTAGTCACCCGTGGAATGTGGAGGTTTTCTTTAAGGTGCGACCCTCCAAGCCTTTCCGGGCCCAAGTGTGGCTGACAGGGGAAGAATGAACGGCAGATGGGAATTACGCCGAGGCATCAACTTAATGAGCAAAAAACAGGAAATGCGTATAATTCAAGTAATGGAAAACCCGTAAGATTCGTTTTGTGGTGATAATGTTAGCGTAAACGAATTTCGGGAACTTAGTCACGGTGAGGAAAGGTCGATGCTAAGGCTCACTGATACATCTTGACCTTTATATATTTTCTTCGTTATTTTATAAGATTCTGCAAACATTAAAGTAGGGAAGGAGCTATATATACTGTATGTAAAAAGTGATCCTCGGGCAGACTAAGGCAACCATTATAAAACCGAAATTTTAAGTTTGCAAGTCTTCTAAATTGGGCAAAAAATGGCGCGAAACTTCTATTTGGGCATGACGCTGGCGGCTGATGGAAAATAAGACAAATTGGACAATCTGCAAAATCCGGTACAGTCGTATATATATAAAAACGTCTATAACCATTCTTATTTTTCCTTAATATAACGCTTAATACAAACATATTCCACCTAGGGTAGCCGAGTACAACTGAATATAATTATCTGAATCCTTTCCGGGCACTGAGGACCCACAACAACACACCGCATTTATTGACCTCTGACCTATGCTATGTGTAGATACTGTAGGAGTGTAGGTGACTGTAGTGTGGCAGGCGACCTCATCAGCCACCACCATCACCCCCCCCCCCACCACCACCCACAGGTTACGAGCTTATCACCATCAACCACACCACTTTACGTTATCACCATAAAACCTGTCTTTTTCGCCAAAGTTCAATCTGGAGACCGCGGATGGTAGTAATGGGGTTGCGGGGGGCAGTAATGGGGTTGTGGGGAGCAGTAATGGGGTTTTGGGGAGCAGTAATGGGGTTGGGGGGAGCAGTGGGGTTGCGGGGGGCAGTAATGGGGTTGTGGGAGGCAGTAATGGGGTTGTGGGGGCAGTAATGGGGTTGATAAGGTGGTGGGGATGGGGTAATGGGGAAGCATGTAACATCCTTGAGGAGGGAAGGAGCGAGAAAACATTGACGTGGCGGTGATTGTAATTTGTGTTCTCCCAAGGTCTCTCTTCTCCTCTTCTTCCTCCTCCTCCTCTTCGTCTTCTTCTTCTTCTTCTTCTTCTTCCCCCTCCCCCTCCTTAAAAATTCCATTGAAACGTATCATTGGGTAAAAATATGATAAGGAATATTACGCTGGACAAAATGTCACCCCCCAAAGAATGTCGCACTTGACAAAATTCTTCCAGCTCGATATTTTTGAAATCCTACTTCCCTGTTTGGTTAGGTTAGGTTATTTAGGCCACTCTAGGTTAGGATACACCAAGCTTGGTAAGATTTGGATAGGTTAAGTGACGTCAGATTAGGTCAGGATAAATTAAGTCAGTTAAATTAGGTTAGATTAGTTTGGGGATTTTGTGAGGATGTTTGTATTAATAATAATTAAAAAATGACGACAGTGTACAGAAGAGAGAGAGAGAGAGAGAGAGAGAGAGAGAGAGAGAGAGAGAGACCAACTAAGAACAAACACAAACATAACGTTAAAATGAACATAACTGACGACCACCATAACAAAAGAAAGGAACATTTCGTACTACAAATATTCGCAAAGTTTTGGTGTTCTTAGTATTGTCTCGCCTGAAGCAAAATACTGTGGAGCAATAAGCCAGAAGGACATTAGGTCTTAAGGAAACTCGACTTGGAACAACTTTGTGATGTTGTTCTGCAGGTGACATTTTTTTCCGGCGGGAAATTATGTGGGGAATTTTTCTTGGCGGGATTTTGTCCACGTACCGGAATTTCACAGGAAATAAGTTTTCTGCTCTAGCTCGGGAGGAGATGAAGAAACATTTATGAAACCATTAGAATATTGCCTCCACCAGCAGCTGACGATGGCAGTGCTCGCTGGGTCATCAGTCATCACATAGTGTTCTCGTGGCTAACACCGTCTGCCACTTTGTTATGTGATTTATTATTCAGAATTTTTTAAATATTTTCTTCCTGCTAATTATCCCTGTTCCGGGTCTACTTTCGTCTTTCGCCTTTATTCTATCCGGTTTAAATGCATTTTTCCATCAGTTCTCATTTAAAAAAATATACTAAGTTCTATGATTCACCAGGGACGGAGTTAATGTGCAAGAACATATTATTTCTTGCTTTTTGGGGCGCTTAAATTAGCTATATTCACTGAGTCACATTACACACTCATACTCAACATGCAAAGCGATTCAAGTTTAACGCGAATGTGAAGGAGCACGATATTTTTCCAGAGTAAAATGGATCATTTTCAGAGTCTTTTAATTAATAGAACTCTAACGGTGTATTAATAGCACAAGAGCTCAAACTCCCACAGTAAACATTTCAGTGAGTAGCGGCCTTTGAAATATTTAGTCCTCGCAATATAAAATTCTAAACGAAAATATCCAGTTTGTTTAGACATCCAATGCCGACATCAACAACTTTTTACACGTTTCTTTATACGAAATGTTGAACCCGAAGTTTGTGGAAAATTTCATTAAGCATTTCTGAAAAAAACTGTTGAGGTGAGCGATATATGAAGCCTGGTCCGCACCCCACCACACGCACACTGTTGCCAACTCTTACGGTCATAGTCACACTGTTGCTAACTCTTACGGTCATATTCACACTGTTGCCAACTCTTACGGTCATATTCACACTGTTGCCAACTCTTACGGTCATATTCACACTGTTGCCAACTCTTACGGTCATATTCACACTGTTGCCAACTCTTACGGTCATATTCACACTGTTGCCAAATCTTACTGCCATAGTCACACTGTTGCCAACTCTTACGGTCATATTCACACTGTTGCCAAATCTTACTGCCATAGTCACACTGTTGCCAACTCTTACGGTCATAGTCACAAGCCAACTTACTGCCATAGTCACACTGTTGCCAACTCTTACTGCCATAGTCACACTGGTGCCAACTCTTACTGCCATAGTCACACTGTTGCCAACTCTTACTGCCATAGTCACACTGGTGCCAACTCTTACGGTCATAGTCACACTGTTGCCAAATCTTACGGTCATAGTCACACTGGTGCCAAATCTTACGGTCATAGTCACACTGGTGCCAACTCTTACGGTCAGTCACACTGTTGCCAAATCTTAACACGATATAATAAAAAAAATAGCGACTCAAAATAGCGGCCCATATAAACAAAATAGCATCTAGAATAGTGAAAATAACATCCAATATAAATAAAATGTCGACTTAAAACACAAAATAGCCAAAAACTAACCAAAATAGCATCCCAATATGAACAAAATGGCATCTTAAATAATGAAAATAGCGCTAGTGTTATAATGAGAAGGAGATGGTAGGATTGACGAGTGTGTTTTATGGTCACCGTGACGAGCCTTCACTGGCGCCGGTAAAGCTGTGATTCATGAATACTTAATGAGGGTAATTTAGCCCAGGTGGTGTAAAATGAATAAACCCCCTTCAGCCAGATAATGAAGAAACGTCCCTTGAGGTTCGTTTATGAATGGAGAAAAGTCCCTAAAATTCGTGAGGGAGAAAAAATACCTAAAATTCGTGTATGGGGTAAAAAAAATTCCTAAAATTCGTGTTAGAGGGAGAAAAAATCTCTAAGAATCGTGTATGAAGGAGAAAAAATCCCTAAAATTCGTGAGGGAGAAAACATACCTAAAATTCGTGTATGGGCTAAAAAAAATCCCTAAAATTCGTGAGGGAGAAAAAATCCCTTCGTCTCCCTCAGTTCTCTTTTTCCTTCATCTCTCTCTCACTTCGTCCCCCTGTTCCTT